GCTCCTCATTTCTTTGATTTGTTCTACTCTTCTTTTGGTTTCTATTTCATTGATTTCTGCTCTGCTATTTATATTTCTCTTCTCCTGCTGGGCTTAGGCTTAATTTGCTGTTCTTTCTCCAGCTCCTTTAGGTGTGGGGTTAGGTTGTGTACTTGAGACCTTTCTTGTTTCCTGAGGAAGGTTTGTATCGCTATATACTTTCCTCTCAGGACCGCCTTTGCTGTGTCCCAAAGATTTTGAACAGTTGTGTTTTCATTTTCATTTGTCTTCATGAATTTTTTCAATTCTTTTTAAATTTTCTGGTTGACCCATTCATTCTTTAGTAGGATGCTCTTTAGCCTTCATGTATTTGAGTTCCTTCCAACTTTCCTCTTGTGATTGAGTTCTGGATTCAGAGCATTGTGGTCTGAAAATATGCAGGGAATGTTTCCAATCTTTTGGGACCGGTTGAAACCTGATTTACCACCCAGGATGTGATCTATTCTGGAGAATGTTCCATGTGCACTAGAGAAGAATGTGTATTCTGTTGCTTTTGGATAGAATGTTCTGAATATATATGTGATGTCCATCTGGTACACTGTGTCATTTAAAACCTTTATTTGCTTATTAATCTTTTGCTTTGATCTGTCCATTTCAGTGAGGGTAGTGTTAAAGTCTCCTACTATTATTGTATTATTGTCGATGTGTTTCTTTGATTTTGTTATTAATTGGTTTATGTAGTTGGCTGCTCCCTTGTTAGGGGCATAGATATTTAAAATTGTTAGATCTTCTTGTTGGACAGACCCTTTAAGTATGATATAGTGTCCTTCTTTATCTCTTATTATAGTCTTTGTCTTAAAATCTAATTTATCTAATATAAGGATTGCCACCCCAGCTTTCTTTGATGTCCATTAGCATGGTAGATTGTTTTCCACCCCTTCACTTTAAATCTGGTGCTGTCTTTGGGTCTAAAATGAATTTCTTGCAGACAACATATCAATGGATCTTGTTTTTTTATCCTTTCTGATATTCTGTGTCTTTTGATTGGGACATATAGCCCATCTACATTCAGGATAACTATTGAAAGATAGGAATTTAGTGCCATTGTATTGCCTGTAAGGTGACTGTTACTGTATATTGTCTCTGTTCCTTTCCGGTCTGTTACTTTTAGGCTCTCTCTTTGCTTAGAGGATGCCTTTCAATATTTCTCATAGGGCTGGTTTGGTGTTTGCAAATTTTTTAAATTTTTGTTTGTCATGGAAGCTTTTTATATCTCCTATTTTCAATGACAGCCTAGCTGTATATAGTATTCTCGGCTGCGTATTTTTCTCATTTAGTGCTCTGGATATATCATGCCATTCCTTTCTGGTCTTCCAGGTCTCTGTGGATAAGTCTGCTGCCAATCTAATATTTTTACCATTGTATGTTAGAGACCTCTTGTCCCAAGCTGCTTTCAGGATTTTCTCTTTGTCACTGAGACTTGTACGTTTTACTATTAGATGATGCGGTGTGGACCTATTTTTATTGATTTTGAGGGGGATTCTCTGTGTCTCCTGGATTTTGATGCTTGTTCCCTTTGCCATATTAGGGACATTCTCTATTATAATTTGCACCAATATACCTTCTGCCCCTCTCTCTTTTTTTCCTCTGGGATCCCAATTATTCTAATATTGTTTCTTCATATGGTATCACTTATCTCTCAAATTGTCCTTTCGTTGTTCAGTAGTTATTTGTCTCTCTTTTGCTTGTCTTCTTTATTCTCCATCATTCGGTCTTCTATATCACTAATTCTCTCTTCTGCCTCATTTATCCTAGCAGTAGGTGCCTCCATTTGTTTATTGCACCTCATTAATAGCTTTTTTGATTTCTACTTGGTTAGATTTTAGTTCATTTATTTCTCCAGAAAGGGATTCTCTAATATCTTCCATGGCTCTTTTGAGCTGAGCTAGTACCTTGAGAATCATCATTCTGAACTCTAGTTCTGACATATTACCAATGTCCATGTTAATTAGGTCCCTAGAGGTTGGTATTGCCTCTTGTTCTTTTTTCCATGGTGAGTTTTTCCACCTTCTCATTTTATCCAGATAAAAATATATGAAGGAGAGTGTAAAATACTAAAAGGGTGCCAAAACCCCCAGAAAAATATATGCTACCCAAATCAGAAGAGATCTGAAACTGGGGGGAGAAGAAAGGGGAGAAAAATTAAAAAATAGAAAAAATGCATATATATGTATACACACACACACACACACACATATATATATATATATATATTAGACTGTTGAATAGAACAGGGCCACCCACTTGATTTTGGGTATATTCTGGTGTCTTAATAGAAACTGCCTCCCAAATATTAAGGAAAGAAATACTTATGTATATACAAACATAAGGGTAAACATGATGAAGGGACGGAATATGAATATAAAGATGAAAATTTATAAAATTCTAAAAAAGGAATTGATAAGAGAAGTTGGTTGGAAAATGAAAAAAAGAGGAGAGAATGTGATCAGGCTGGATGCTAGATTTAGGGTAAATTTTGATCTATTAGAAGAAATTGTATCCCAAAATTTTAAAGAAAAAAGACTATATGTATTAAAAAATAATTTTAAATACAATGAAGGGATAAAATATGAGTATAACTGAAAATTCAAAAAGATTTTTAAAAAAGATATTGATAAGATAAAATAGTTTAAAATATTAAAAGAGGAAAGACGAAAAGTTATAAAAAGTAGAATCAGAAAAAAATAAAAAAAAATTTAACTTTGCAAGACTAAAAGATCATGGGGGAAAAAGCCATGAATTCTCTGTGTTGCTTTCCCCTAGCTCTGTAGTTCCACAGTTCTCTTTGAATTCGGTCTTGGCTGGATGTTCTTTTTGATCTTTTTGGGGAGGGGCCTGTTGCAGTTATTCTCAAATGTCTTTGCCTGAAGCAGAATTGCACCACCCTTGGCAGGGGCCAGGCTAAGTAATCTGCTTGGGTTAGCTCTTGGAGCTTTTGTTACCTGATCACTTTTCATAAAGCTTTGGAGGATGGGAATGAAGATGGCAGGCTCCCAATCCCTGGCCCCAGAGGAGCCCAGAGCTTGGGCCCCCACTCTCAATGTGCCTTCCGTGAGAAGCAGTCAGTCCCTCCAGTCTCCCTGGTCTCCGGCCACAGTCTGTGTTTACCTGGCCTGTGACTGAGCATTTCTGTCTCTGGCGCATGGCCCTGTTTGGAGTTTCCAAGCCCAGCAGATTCCTGCAGCATGCTCTCACGCTGCTCCTTCTGGAGGAGAAAGGAGGGGATCTCTCTGGATCTGCCATTTGTGGTGTCCCTGCTCGAGGAGCAATGGCCCAACTATGCCTTGGGTCACTGTTTAAGGTAACCCCGAGCTGATAGCTCACTCCTTGGCTCTGGCTCCATGTCTGTTGCCAGCTTCTCTGCTCTGATACCTGGCAGCCCTGCCACACTCAGACACCCCCGGTCTTTCTGTGGCCCCATGTGTCCTGAGACCACACTGCCCCCGCTAGGGCTCCACCCCCACTTAGCCTCTGGAGCAACATCCCTCAGTGGAGCAGACTTCTAAAAGTTCTGATTTTGTGCTCTGCTGATCCACCACTTGCAAGGAGCCAGCCCCTCCCCCACAGTTTATCTTCCCGTTGCTTTGGATTCACTTCTCCACACATCCTACCTTCCAGGAAGTGTTTGATTTTCTGTTCCTAGAATTGCTGCTCTTCTTCTCTTCTGTCTCCTGTTGAGTTTGTAGGTGTTCGGAATGGTTTGATAACTATCTAGCTGAACTCCTGGGACCTCATGCTATTTCAGTCTCCTACTCCTCTTCCATCTTGCTTCCTTTCCTCCCTTTAATTCTTTTTTTTTTTAACGATTTATTTATTTTAGAGAGTGCAAGTTGGGGGAAAAACCGAGGGAGGGAGAGGGAGAATCCTCACGTGGGCTGCCTGGTGAGTGTAGAGCCTGACATGGCACTCGATCCCAGGATCCTGAGTTCATGGCCTGAGCCAAAATCGAGTCAACCACTTAACTGACTGAGCCACCCAGGTGCCACCATCTGATTTTCTTGAATACATGCTTCCTGGATTGCCAAAATCTTTTATTTAATTTCCAAATTTCAAAAAAAGTTGGTTTTGTCAGTTTTTGCCAGTTTTCTCATTGTTTTTATGGAGTAGATAATTTTCAAAGGCCTTTAGTACACCATTACTTATATTCTTTCAGTATATATTCTTGAATAAAAACTTTGTAATTTGTTATATATCTTTTAATCACTTCCCAGAGTCTTTAAAGGGCTGTTTTTTGAACTTTTGTTCAATTTATCATTGCTTTTGGGGGGAGGGATTTGCTGAGCTGTACACACAGTCATTCCAGAAGTGCTGCTATTCCATTTTAGAATTTTTAAAATATTTATTTATTTACTTATTTATTTATTTGAGAGACAGAGATCAGAAGTAGGCAGAGAGGCAGGCAGAGAGAGAGGAAGGGAAGCAGCCTCCCTGCTGAGCAGAGAACCCGAAGCGGGGCTCGATCCCAGGACCCTGGGATCATGACCTGAGCCAAAGGCAGAGTCTTTAACCCATTGAGCCACCCAGGCACCCCTCCATTTTAGAGTTTAATACTAAGCTGAACTATAACCTCACCCAAGACATAAGGCAAAATGCATTTTTAGACAAAGGTATAATACTTTTGTCATCCATTAACCTTTGATAAAAGTAATACTGAAGACTAAGAAATCTAGGGAGAAACAAGACATTCAGTACAAGAAATGATTGATCCTTTATCACTGAGTAGTGATAGAGTAGTGACAGGAAGAGAGAGACTGACTTAATGAGATCCTCTTCTATTTAACCTGTTGTGGCTGGACCATATCTTTGTTCAATGTGATTTTATACAAAAACAGCATTCTAGTGAACATATCTGGAGGATATTAATAGTGCAGATAAGACCTTTTGTGTTCATCCCATGCTATAATTTATGTTTAATGGAGGAAAAGTAGATTTCTGAATAACAAAACCTTTGTCTTTAACAGGTAAGAGGAATGACATGTGCCTCCTGTGTACATAAAATAGAGTCTATCCTCACAAAACACAGAGGGATCTTCTATTGCTCTGTGGCCCTGGCAACCAACAAAGCACATATTAAATATGACCCGGAAATTATTGGTCCCAGGGATATTATCCATACAGTTGAAGTAAGTGGTAAGATTTTGGATTTCTGTGTTCTTACCTATTCAGTCAGCACTCTGTTGAATCACTTCTAGTTTTTATCAAAGACAATGAAAAAATATGGTTCCTTTGATTATTCTCAATTAACATGTCCCAAATTTAATATGAATATGTTTACAACCTTTTTTTTTTCTTAGTCTTTGTCAGGAAGAGTTAGGCAAAGGCATATTGGCACTATTAATCAGCAGTTGATTGAAGGTAGAATCACAAATCCTTTAAAAATATTTAGAAAATGGCAGTAAAGTACAATTTGTTGTAAGAGTAATTAATTATTTAAAAAGCAAGCATCACGCTAGATGCTTTATTGTACCTAGATCAAAGCAAACTGTAATTTTAAAAAATTTGTGTATGGTTGACACAACGACGTTATATTAGTTTCAGGAATATAAAATAGTGATTCAACAACTCAGTAGTTATGCATGCTCACCATAAGTGTAGCTCCCATCTTTCACCGTACAACGCTATTACAGTACCATTGTCTATATTTACCATACTGTACCTTGTTTTCCCATGACTTAGTCATTCCATAACCAGCAGCCTGTATTTCCCACTCCCCTTCACCCATTTTACCCATCTCCCATCTACCTCCCCTCTGGCAATCATCAGATTGTTTTCTGTATTTATAGATCTGATTCTGCTGACAAACGATGTATTTTTAAGTATGAAATTTAAAAGACCAAACCCTTTTATTTGTCACAGACTTATCTTGTGTTCTTCAGTAAATCAAGTGGTAGTACATGTGACAATGCTTTAAAAGTTTTAATGTGGTATACCCTTGGTGTTATAATGCTTGGAGCATATTAATATTCAGATAAGATCCTATTAATATAGATAATAATGCCATTAACATCTTTGTGAAGCTAGCATTATTGAGTATTTACTATGAGCCAGTTACCAAGATTGCAAAGCTTCAACTCTTAATTTAATCTCACAACAGTGCTGTCATCTTCATTTTAGAGATGACAAAACTCAGGTTCAGAGAAATTAAGGTACTTACCCAAAATCACATAACTAGTAAGTGTCATAGCTGGATTTGAGCTTATTCTTTCTTTAAAAAAATAAGTATTTATTTGTTTGAGAGAGAGAGAAAGAGAGAGAGTGAGCAAGCAGGAGGCGGGAGAGGGAGAAGCAGACACCCTGGCAGTCTGACACAGGGCTCAATCCTGGGACTCTAGGATCATGACCTGACCTGAAGGCAGATGTTTAACTGACTGAGCCACCCAGGCACCCCGAGCTTATTCTTTCTGACTGTGAAATGCATGCTTGCTTTTTTCACTGTGCTGTGCTACACTGCCAACAAATACAAGATGGCAGCATTTTCCCTAGTAGCTGAAAATATAGAGTATGTTACTGTCTATGTGCATATGAGTCTTACGTATGTGTAGTTTTCTTTAATACTTTGTTTTATTGGGGAAAATTTGTGTTCATGTTCTTTTTCTGATAGAAGAAGAGTAGAGACTGCATCTGCAAAGACTTCAATAACATACTTAGTATGGTACTAACTTTTGTGGCCTATTATTCAGTTTTCTAAATTTGTTCAGGAGATAGATGGATAGATAGATGTCAAAGCTAAAATTTAATGTATGTCCATACTAGTGGATGATGCTTGTCTAAATGTAAGATTTATGATTTTATTATTGAATTCTGTCTTTATTAAGTCATCAACACCATCAGCCTGACCAACCAACAGATTCTGCTTTTTTCTTTTCTTTTTTTCTAAAATTACTTATTAGACACTTTAGCTTACTTCTTGATATATTAAGAATCTTAGTGAGGATAGCTGAACTTGAGTTAAATCATTAGTTTGAGAACAGTAGGCTAGACATTAATTAGAGTAAAGGATCTATTCATTTCTTTGTTGAAAGATTATAAACAAAAGTAATTAAGGGAAGGGAGTATATCTTCACCTTTGCAATCATCAGAGTGACTTGCTTTCAGTAATTGAGTTGAATTGTTCTTAATGACAGTACCATGTCTTAGAATTTCTCTATGTAGTAGTTTTATATTCAGTGAAATAATTGTTTTCTCATGAATGTCCTTAGAGCTTAGGTTTTGAAGCTTCTTTGGTCAAGAAGGATCGATCAGCAAGCCACCTGGACCATAAACGAGAAATAAGACAGTAAGTGCTTTTGGTGCATCAATGAAAAACAGATTTTGACTCTTTGTTACAAATTTCTTTTAAGAGAGAGAAAGAGTGAGGAAGAGGCAGAGGAAGAGGGAGAGAGAATCTTGAGCAGGCTCCACACTCAGCACAGAGCCTGATGCAGGGCTTGATCTCATGACCCTGAGATCATGACCTGAGCCGAAATCAAGAATTGGACGTTTAACTGACTGAGCCACCCAGGTTCCCCCTTTATTACAAATTTAACATCCTGTTGACATGTCAGTTTTTACAATGTCATCCTTATATTGGGTGGAGTGGTCATAATTTGTATTTCCCTATACTGCATAGAATCTTTAACCACCAACTACTTACTAAAATGATGTTTCTTTTTTTATGTAAGGTGGAGACGCTCCTTCCTTGTGAGCCTCTTTTTCTGTATTCCCGTAATGGGGCTGATGATATATATGATGGCTATGGATCACCATCTTGCAACTCTTCACCATAATAAGAACATGAGTCAAGAAGAAATGATCAAAATTCATTCTTCTATGTTCCTGGAGCGCCAGATCCTGCCAGGACTGTCCATTATGAATTTGCTATCCTTTCTATTGTGTGTACCTGTACAGGCAAGTGAAATGTCAGCAAGTGTATATGTTAATAACGAAAAATAGCAAAATGTGACAGGCAAGGCTATTTTCAATATCAAAACAGATATTAGCCAGAAGTTTGATCATTTTATGCTAGATGCTTTATGAAAATAATCTTAAACTGAGCAGTTAAAGTGGATAATAAATTCTACTTAACTCCTAAGGATATTGTTTAACAACAAAGCAGAGAGAAAGAGTTCAATTCATATTTAGATATGAATTTAGCATTCATATCTGCTGTTGTATATAACTTTGTTTAAAGTTATTATTAAAAATATTTATATTTGTATTTAATATTCTATATTAAATATATTAAAATTAATTATACTACTATTATATTAAGTATATTTATAAATATTTTAATTAATAACTTATATAAAATAAAATGATAATTATAATTATCATAATTATAATTATATTTTTATATATGTAGTTATATTATAATTATTATATTATAATTATAAATGATAATTATAATATTATGTTATTATTTTAATTATTTCTCCCTGGTACTGATGTCCATTACTTTCTGTATGTTTTCAACTCTTCTTTTCTTTTTCTTTTTAAAAGATTTTATTTATTTATTTGACAGAGAGAGAGAGATCACAAGTAGGCAGAGAGGCAGGCAGAGGGGGAGGGGGAAGAAGGCTCCCTGCTGAGCAGAGAGCCCGATGTAGGGCTCCATCCTAGGACCCTGAGATCATGACCTGAGCTGAAGGCAGAGGCTTAACCCACTGAGCCACCCAGGCGTCCCTCAACTCTTCTTTTCAAATAAACTTTTACTGTGGAACACTTACATCTCATAAATCTATTCCTTTCTCTGATCCTTATAAAAGGCAATGATGATTTTAAGAACATCTTAGTATGTTTCTTCATACTAATGAAAAATAAACTTTTCAGTTGTTTACCAATGAAAACAGCCAGCCAGCAGTTCCAATAGCTTGTAATATTCCACTTAGGTTGAATTTTAGGCAGGGGAGCTGAGTTTTATGTATACATATATTAAAAAAAGTAAAAAAAAAATGTAATTGTTTTCTTAGTTCTTGTTTTTGCTAGCATCTAAAAGAAAAATCAGAGAATCATCTGACTTTGTTATACTATGGAATATCCCTTGGATCTTAGAGGACAGCTGCCAAGGACTTCTGCTGCAGTTTGCCTCAACACACACAGACCTGCTAAAATACAGACATTGTTATTTCAGCTTAAAATATTTCCTTAGTGTTTCTGGTTTAGATAAAAGCCAAAGGAAATTAATATTGAGACTGTATCTTTGTTCCTGAGCTATATATGTGAATTTCTGCATTTTATAAAAAAGCAATAATTATTGTTCCTCTGTTACAGTTTTTTGGAGGCTGGTACTTCTACATTCAGGCCTACAAAGCACTGAGGCATAAAACTGCAAATATGGATGTACTGATTGTGCTGGCGACCACCATCGCATTTGCCTACTCTCTGGTTATTCTTCTGGTTGCAATGTATGAAAGAGCCAAAGTAAACCCTATAACTTTCTTTGATACGCCTCCTATGCTATTTGTATTTATTGCCCTGGGCCGGTGGCTGGAACATATAGCAAAGGTACAGTAAGAAAGGGTGACATTTGTTAAAATCTTGGACGGATAAGTGATCATATTTTTTAGACCAGTAATTGTTGGAAATATACATAGATTTATATAGTTAAAAAAGAAGTGCTTCTATTTTGTAATGTTTTAAGTTAAATATTCCTGTAGAAGGTTTATAAAATTTATGGAATTAAAACTGTAGATAGTACACTATATCCATGCTTATTTCAAGAGAGAAACATTTGCTAAGTACTTACTTATATCACATTTTTAATGGAAAAATTGATGTGACCACAGGATTTAAAATAATGATGGAAAAAATATTCACCTGTAATCCCATGCTATAATGGAAATTACTTTCCAATCCTGTTCTACATACTTTTATATTTTTACAGAGTGGCAAACATTGTATACATACTAGTTTATCCTTAACACTAGAAAGTTTTTTCTCCATTTTTCCAGTCCAGATATAATTATTTGGTATTTTCTAAATAACATTTTGTCAAATCATTGTGCTATAACCCACTAAACCATTTTGGTTTTGTTCCCAATTAGACTGTTTCCAGTTTTAAATTTTAGACAATCCTGCATTAAACATATTCGTGTTTAATAGTAATTTCTGTTGAATTAGTATCTTAGGATAAATTACAAAGTATGTGAGTAAAGGGCATAAATCTTTTCATGGCTCATGCAACAAATAACATTCTTTTGGCAGTAAGAATATGTTAGTGAAGTAGTTTTACTACAACTTCACCAGCATTAACTCCTGTATAAATTCTTGCTAAGTTGGTAGGCATTAAATGGTATCATAGAGGTGCCTTTGTTTTTATTTCTTCCATTAATAGGAGGAATAAACATTTTTCTCCACATCAGGTATTTTATGTCTTAAATGAATTGCCTAATGATGTCCATAAGCAAAGGACTTATGTGCCTGGGTTCCTGATGTTTTTCCTGTTAATTTACATCACTTATTTATAAATTATACCTAATAATACATTTTATATTTTGTAGACTTCACATTTTTGAAGTGAAACATTTTCTAATTTGAACTAATTAGTATTCCTAAAGCTATCTTTTTGGCAAATGTTAAGTTTTATATCTTTATTTTAGGTAGAACCTGAGCTTTTTACTTCCTTAGCATTGTTAACATGTTTGTTTTAATTTGTAGGGCAAAACATCAGAGGCTCTTGCCAAGCTAATTTCACTACAAGCTACAGAAGCAACTATTGTAACTCTTGACTCTGATAATATTCTCTTAAGGTATTTATTTTCATTCTTTCCCCTTATCTTTTTAACTTCTTACAAAAAATATCAAATATACCCAGAAGTAGAGAGAAGAGTATAATGAACTTACATCATCTGTCTCCCAGATTTAACAATTATTCACATTTTGCCCAACTTATCTATGCATTCTATCTTTATATTGTTGCAGTAGTATTTTAAATTCCAGTCATGTTGGTTTATTGCTAAATGTTCCTGTAGTATCTCTAAAAATAGGACATATTCCTATGTAACTATAATACCATATTGCACTTAACAAAATTAACAGTACCTTAATATCATCTAATATGTATGTAGTGTGTATTCTCATTTCTCCTGTTGTCCCTAAAAAGTTATTTATTTATTGTAGAGAGAGGGTGGAAAGAGAGAGAGAGTGTGTGAGAGAGTGAGAGAGAGTGCTTCTGCATGAGTTGGGGGAGGAGCAAATGGGGAAGAGCAGCTGGGGGGCGGGGCAGGAGGTGGGAAGAATCTCAAGCTGATCTTATGGTGAGCACAGAGCCTAGAGCCTGTTCCAGGGCTTTGATCTCACCCTGATATCATGACCTGAGCAAAAACCAAGAGTTAGTTGCTTAACCGACTGAGCTATCCAGGCACCCCATCTCCAAAAGTTTTGTTTCGTTGTTTGAAATGGAAATCAAACAAGGTCTATGTGTCAAAGCATTTGACTGACATGTTTCTTTTAATCAAGAGCAGCTCTTCCCTTCTGTTTGCCCTCCCTCCCCACCATGCCTCACCACTTACTGGTGACTTGTTAGAGAACCATCCATCAATTGTCTGGTAGAATATCACACAGTCTGAATTGAACTCTTTGCTCTTTGTGGCATCATCTAACTTGTTCTATAGCTCCTGTTACCTGTAAACTGGAAGTTAGAGCTAAAGACTTGATAAGATTTCATTCTTTTTTAAAATTTTCATTCTTTTGTATTTCTTATTTATATAGTCGTAAAATTATGTAGGCAAATTTACACAACAAATAAATTGTTTTTTAAGATTTTATTTATTTATTTGTCAGGGATAGAAAATGAGCACAAACAGGGGGAGCGGCAGGCAGAGGGAGAAGCAGGCTTCCCACTGAGCAAGGAGCCCAATGTGGGACTCCATTCCAGGACCCCGGGATCATGACCTGAGCCAAAGGCAGACACTTAACTGACTGAGCCACCCAGGCTTCCTATAAATTTTTAGTTAAATAAAACCCCTTATATTATTTTCTAAAGCTTTCATTTTTTCATTCAGTCACTATTCAACAAATATATCCTTTGTGCCAGGTACTGAGCTATTCCCCAGCAGTAAACCAGACTGATACTGTAGCTCCCAGCTTAAATGTTAGTTCTAGTTGCCATTGGTAACAATTATGGAGCGACAGGCTTGACATGAACCAATAAACTTGCATGGAAAGATCAGGGTGAGAAGCATATTTTCCTAGTGCTTTTTATTTTAACTCCGATCCAGTGAAGAACAAGTGGATGTGGAACTTGTACAACGCGGAGACATCATTAAAGTTGTTCCAGGAGGCAAATTTCCAGTGGATGGTCGTGTTATTGAAGGCCATTCTATGGTAGATGAGTCCCTTATCACAGGTATGTTCTTTCAGAGAATCATGACATGAAAGTAAAGTACACCCAAAGTGTTAATTAAAAGAAGAATAAAAAGTGGAGAGCTTTTTAAAAAATTATGGAATGAGTAAATGATGATTAAAGAGAATAGGAATTCTTTAAAAAATGGTATTAAATCAATTTCTGTAGATTTACTTTGTGTTTTTCATTATGCTACTGAAAGCTTTTTTTTTTCACTGAGCATTGTTAATGACTAGAATGTGTAACCAAAACCCAAGAGACTTTGGCAGGTTTTCCTGAGAAAATACCTGTTTATTTTTCCTGACCTAAAGACTGGTCTGGTCTGAGCTGGGATATGACTCTGGATTTTCCACATCAGGGCCTGCTCTAAGAAATTAGGCCTTGGAGTAGTTTTAGAGATCTTAGATAACTAAGGGCAGTCTGGAGCAGAACCAAAAGAATGCCTTTGCTGCCTGAACCCTCAAGATAGTCCCAGAAGACGCTCAGCTTATGGACTATAAGGAAATAATTTTGGACTCTTGTGTTTCTCAACAGGGTGCTATTGCCAGTTCAGATGGGACAATTCTTTTGAGGGGACTGCTTGCGCATTGTAATACATTTAGTATCCCCCGACCCCAGCCCACTAAATTAAGAGTAGCAGCACCCCATGCTCCAGCAGTAGTTATAAACAGGAACTCCCACATTTCTAAATGCTCCTTGGGAACATATTGAGGACCAGTGATCCAAGACTAGGGTGCAACTTTAAAAGTGTCCGTATATAAGAGCTGACTTAATAAAGTTTTCTAGTTTAAGGTATGTGTCCTTGGGGTTGGCCCAGAACTGACGTAAGAGAAAAGGGAGGGCAAGTTTCACCTAGGGATTTATCCAGATTCTGTTTCATGAGCTAAAAATCTCCTTTCTACATATTTTTGACAATTAATACATAATAGCATGTTTTAAGATAGTATGCATTTATGCTCCCTAAATCTGACTTCACTCCTTCTACAGGGGAGGCAATGCCTGTGGCTAAGAAATCTGGCAGCACAGTAATCGCTGGTTCCATTAACCAGAATGGGTCGCTGCTTATCCGTGCAACCCATGTTGGAGCTGACACAACACTTTCTCAAATTGTCAAACTTGTGGAAGAGGCACAAACATCAAAGGTAACTTAATTTCTTGGGAAAAATAAAGTATTTTTTTAAAAGACTGCTAAGAATAAATCCTGATCTAGTGTTTATATTTTCTTTTAACTCCAGTTACATTAATATGGAGATTATTAAAATATTTGTGTGTAATACCAAATATACCCTGTATTCATTATCAAAAAAAGGAGGCTGATACATGTATTATTGTTATTATTGTTGTTCTAGGCTCCTATCCAGCAGTTTGCAGACAAACTCAGTGGCTACTTTGTTCCTTTTATTGTTATTGTTTCCATTGCTACTCTCTTGGTTTGGATTATAATTGGATTTCTGAATTTTGAAATTGTGGAAACCTACTTTCCTGTAAGTGACTTGTAACAACTCTTTACATAAAACAGTTTGTGAATCTTTTGCATAAACTATTATTTGGAAAATAGCTTTAGTAATTACTAGTATCTTTATGGGCCTAGAATGGGAGGGTGATAATAATATTTGCATTTCATAAATACAAAAATTTCCCTCTGGAAGATTTTTTTCATTATTTTCATTACTTTTTAAATTATTTTCATTATGATTGTCCCAAAGTGAGTACTGAACTTTTATATCTTATACCTAGTCTCATTCCCAATATGACTGCTTTCTCAAAGGACTACGGATAATATTGAGGAAAACCTTGGGATCTCAGCTCTGCCATATACCATCAGGGTGATCTTAGGTCAACTTAATGTCTCTCTGAGCTTCAGTTTTCTCATTTATAAAGTGAGATTCTAATAATGCCCATCCTGCATAACTTGCAGTTGTTGTGAAAGTTAAATAAGATAATATATTGGAAATACTTTGTAATTTATTAAGTGCTTTATAAATATATGAAAATATTAGTGCCACTTCCTCTGTAGTACTATGATAGTCTCTAAAGTATGGTGTTGTAAAGTGGTAAAGTAGACCTGGATTGTGCCTCTTATTAGAGATATAACCTTTTTTAAAAAAATTTCTTGTTTTTTAAAATTATTTTTATTAACATATAATGTATTATTTGCCCCAGGGGTACAGGTCTGTGAATCATCAGGCTTACACATTTCACAGCACTCACCATAGCACATATCCTCCCCAATGTTCATAATCCAACCAACCTATCCCTACCCCACCTCCACTGCAGATACTGCACAGGTTTTGTGCCCATGTGCATTGGAGAAATATCTCCTACATGCCCTATGGTGTCAGGTGAGGGGGCTTTGGCATTCCCAACCAGCTAGGCATTGTTGTCAGGATTCTGATGGCTCGCATTTTTGGTCTGAAAGTCATGTTGGAGACTGAAGAGCTTTGGCCCCTGCTCTTGGGCTTCACCATCATTCTAGCTGTCCTACAAAGTATAGCCCTTCCATTTTGCCCTGAAAGTCCTAGATTTTTGGTCATTAACAGAAAGGAAGAAGAGAGTGCCAAGAAGATCTTCTAGTGATTGCAGGGCACCCAGAATCTGACCCAGACAAAACATCAGGGAGATGAAAGATGAGAGTGCTAGGATGGCCCAAGAAAAGCAAGTCATTGTGCTAGAGCTCTTCAGCATGCCCAGCTACTGACAGCATATTGTCATTTCCACCATGCTCCAGCTCTTCCAGCAGCTCTCTGGAATCAGTGCTGTGTTCTGTTACTAAATAGGAATCTTCAAAGATGCAGCTGTTGGGGAGCTGTTGGTGTGGATGTGATGAATACTGTCTTCATGGTAGTTTCTCTGCTTTTGATGGAAAGGGCAGGGAGGAAGACTCTACATTTGATTGGTCTTGGAAGGATGGCTTTTTGTTCCATCCTCATGACCATTTCATTGCTATTAAAGGATGAGTATAACTGAATGGGCTTTGTCTGTATCGCAGCTGTCTTGGTCTTCATGCCCTTTTTTTTTTTAATATTTTATTTATTTATTTGACAGACAGAGATCACAAGTAGGCAGAGAGGCAGGCAAAGAGAGAGAAAGGAGGAAGCAGGCTCCCTGCTGAGCAGAGAGCCCGATGTGGGGCTCAATCCCAGGACCCTGGGATCATGACCTGAGCCGAAGGCAGAGGCTTTAACCCACTGAGCCACCCAGGCGCCCCTTCATGCCCTTTTTTGAAACTGTTTTTTTGTGGCCAAACTCTTCGGCTGGGGACCCCACCCAGCTGCAATGGCAGAGGGCTTTGTTCCAGCTGGACTTCCAGCTTGTTGGTTGGGCAGCTCTTCCCCCTCAGCTGCATTCTATTTAGGAGTCTGCCTGTGTTTGTATTGTCTTCACTGGCTTCCTTTTTATCTTCTTGGTCTTTAGTCCCTGAAACCCATGGCAGAACTTTTGCGGAAATTACACGAGTCTTTGAAGGGCAGGTGGAAGAGGCAGGTAGAACTGACAAATGGCCCACTCTGGAGATAAACAGCATCCTTCCTACCACCAAGGTCTAAGCCGTGCATCCATACCAACATGAAAAAGCAAACTCTCCCTGAATGACAGAGAGAGAGAGAGAGACTTCATCAGCTTGTAACCCAGACTGTTTCTGAATGCTGCTACTTGATTCCTTTCTCTTCCCACATACTTCATGAGCACTCGGAGGAACCCAATGCTGGAGTTAGTTGTATCTTCAATGGCTTCTTAAACATTTTATTACTTGGACATTCTCTTCTGTTTAGGAGATACTAAGGGAAACTTCCTTTGTTTCTAAAGGAATTGGCTGCTTGGCACATGACAACTTTGCCAGCTTTTTCTCCGTTGGGTTGTGAGTTGAGTATTGCCTCACAAGGACATACAGGAGTTAAGAGTAAGGTACAGTTTCCTCTATCCCAGACTTAATAGGAAGTAGATCTACATGAGTGTGGAGGGCAAAGAGGGGTTAAATAAGAGCACCTTCCTCACTTCTGTACAGCTCTGCAGAGAAAATTAACTCGAGTTTTATTTATCTTCTGGTTTTATTACACAAATATTTAGTTCTTTTTTTTTCAAATATTTAGTTCTTTAAGTGTATAGCAATTTTACCAAATAATGAGAACATAAGGAAATTGAGGTTAGAGGGAGGTGCTTAAAGAGAGATTATAGGGTGGAAGATTTGATACTGGAAAAGTCAAGGTACAATAAGAGTCATATACATTTTGTAGAGACAAGAGTCTCTACATTTAGAGAGAAATGTAGTATGTCATTGAAGTGTGCATGAGGTGATGTGTGAGATTTGCACGTTGCCTCTTAACAATTTCTGTCCTTCAGGTGGAAACTCTCAAGTTTAACTTTTTAGAAAAGTCATGTGCCTATACTAAGAAGCTACTGGTTTCATTTGGAACTTTTTTCTTTGTTGAAGATTATACATAGTATTACTTGAAGTCTAGGATGATTATGAAAATAGGCATTGTAGTTAATGGTGGTTGATGGATTCTGATTTTGGATGGAGTCCAGAGAAGGGAAGTTTAATTCTAGAAATCCTTTCTCCCCTCACTGGACCAAAAAAGTTCTTCCCCATGTAGTGGACTCTTTTTTTTTTAAACTACTCCTAACTACCCATCTGGTGGGGGAGCCCTCCAAATGGGCAACCCAGTTTTGTTTTTTGGATTTTAGTTGCTGATTTTTATTTTTTTGAAAGTTTTAATTTTAATTCCAGCTAGTTAATATACAGTGTTATATTAGTTTCAGGTATACAATATAATGGTTCAGTAATTCCATACATCACCCAGTGCTATCACAAGTCCACTCTTTAATCTCCATCACCTGTTTAACTCATCCCTCCATCTACCTACCCTCCGGTAACTATTTTCTATAGTTAAGAGCCTGTTTCTTGGCTTGCCTCTCTCTCTCTCTCTCTCTCTCACTCTAGCTTTCCCCCGCTTTGTTCATTTGTTTTGTAACTTAAATTCTACATATGAGTAAAGTAATAATGGTATTTGTCTTTCTCTGACTTATTTTGCTTAGCATTATACTGTCTAGCTCCATCCATGTGGTTGTAAATGGCAAGAATTTATTCTTTTTGATGACTGAACAATATTCCATTATAGATATATGCCATATCTTCTTAATCATTCATCAATTGATGGACAGTTGGGCTGTTCCCATACCTTGGCTGTTATAAATAATGCTGCCATAAACACAGGGGTGCATGTATCCATTTGAATTAGTGGTTTTGTATTCTTTGGGTAAATACCCAGTAGTGTGACTGCTGGATCATAGGGTAGTTCTGTTTTTACTTTTTTGAGGAACCTCCATACTGCTTTCCAGAGTGGCTATACCAGTTCCCTCCAACAATGTAAGAGGGATTGTTTTTCTCCACATACTCACCAATACCTGTTATTTCTTATGTTGTTGATTTTAGCCATTTGGTCAGGTATGAGGTGATATCTCATTGTGGTTTTGATTTGCATTTTCTTGATGATGAGTGATGTTGAGCATCTTCTCATGTGTCTCTTGGCCATCTGGATGTCTTCTTTGGGGAAATGTCTATTCATGTCTTCTGCCCATTTCTTGACTGGATTTTTTGGGTTTTTTTGGGGGGGGTTGTTGAGTTTGGTAAGTTCTTTATAGATTTTGGAAACTAACCCTTTACCAGATATGTAGTTTGCAGATATCTTCTTCCATTCCGTAGGTTGCCTTTTAGTTTTGTTGATTGTTTACTTCGCTGTGCAGAAGCTTTTTATCTTAATAAAGTCCCCATAGTTCATTTTTGCCCTTATCTCTGGAGACATGTCTAGTAAGAAGTTATTGTAGTCGAATCGCTTCTTGGCTTTTGGCTAAGATCAAGTGTAGAAGTTACTGTAGTCGAGGTCAAAGAGGTTGCTGCTTGTGTTGTCCTCTAGGATTTTGATGGTTTTCTGTCTCACATTTAGATCTTTTGTCCATTTTGGATTTATTTTTGTATGGTGTAAGAAAGTGGTCCAGTTTCCTCATTTAGCATATTGCTGTCCAGTTTTACCAACACAATTTGTTGAAGAGACTTTTTTTCCACTGGATATTCTTTCCTGCTTTGTTCAAGATTGATTGACCATATAATTGTGGGTTTATTTCTGGGTTTTCTGTTCTGTTCTATTGGTCTATATATCTATTTTTGTACCACTACTCTACTGTTTTCATTCCTACAGCTTTGTAATGTAACTTAAAGCCTGTAATTGTGATGCCTGCAGCTTTGTTTTGCTTTTTCAATGTTGCTTTGACTATTCGGGGTCTTTTGTGGTTCCATATAAATTTTAGGATTGTTTGTTCTAGTTCTGTGAAAAATGTTGTTGGTATTTTGATAGGTAGTACATTAAATTTGTAGATTGCTTTGAGTAGTATAGACTTTAAAAAATTATTTATTTTAGAGGGAGAGAGTGAGCACAAGCAAGGGGAGGGGCAGAGGAAGAGGGAGAGAATCCTTAAGCAGACTCCTTGCTGAGTGCAGAGCCCAACATGGGGCTTGATCCCAGGACTCTGAGATCACAGCCTGAGCTGAAATCAAGAGTCAGCCACCCAGCCGAGCCACACAGGTGTCCTGGGTAGTATAGACATTTTAATAATATTTGTTCTTCTAATCATGAGTATGGACTATTTTTCCCTTTCTTTGTGTCATCTTCAATTTCTTTCATTGGTGTTTTAAGTTTTCAGAGTACAGGTCTTTTATCTCTTTGGTTAGGTTTATTCCTAGGTATTTTATTGTTTTAGTGAAATTATAAGTGGGATTATTTTCTTAATTTCTCTTTCTGCTGCTTCATTATTGGTATATAGAAATGCAACAGATTTCTGTAGATTGATTATACTTTACTGAATTTGTTTATCATTCTAGCAGATTTTGGTGAAGTCTTTCAAAAGGTTTTCTATATATAGTATCCTGTCAAGTGCAGATAGTGAAAGTTTTACTTCTTCCTTATCAATTTGGATGCCTTTTATTTCTTTTTGTTGTCTTATTACTGTGGCTAGGCCTTCTAGTACTATGTTGAATAAAAATGGTTCTGGTTAACATCCTTGTCCTGTTCCTGACCTTAGGGAAGAGCGCTCCATTTTTCTCTATTAAGGATGATGTTAGCTGGGGTTTTTCATAAATGGCTTTCATTATGTTGAGGTGTATTCTCTCTAAACCTACTTTGTTGAGTGTTTTTATCGTGAATGGATGTTGCATTTTGTCAAATGTTTTTTCTGCATCTATTGAAATGATGGTATGATTCTTATCCTCTCTCTTATTGACGTGGATTTTTATTTTGTTGTAAGCCATAGCTTTTAAAGAATTCAGAGAATGTTCATAGCTAATTTTGAATTGGTAACCTCAGCTCTGGGAGAGGACTTTTCCTGAATGATTATTATCTTGTTGATGTATGTTGTTGCTTTGGCATCATGATGTTATTGTTCATCTGTTACTATGTCAGGTTACCCTTGTTACCATGTTTCCATTGTATTAGGTCAAGTGCCCTTAGGAGTCATACATTTGAGATAATGTGAGTAAATGTGCAGTGTAGCCCACTGCAGAGAGTATGAATGTATATATACTGTCACTTTGCTCTAGTTGGAAGTAGTTTGTTTGTAGCTTGCTTCCTCTATGTTCCTGCAGCCTCCTTTTGGATAGAATCTGTTAAACATTTCAGTGTGTATAAATACCACTGCCTTTGCTTTGCAGAATTTGTGTCTATGGCTTTTTTCCAAACATTAGTGTTCCATCTCTTGCTACTTTTCCTTGTTGGAGATTTGGGGGAGAACTCCTTAAACCCTGAGATTGAGGGTGGAGGACTCTTTCTCACTCTAGACCCAGACAATGGAAATAGTTAAGAAGAATGTGAAATCAGGACATGTGGCTTCTTGGGGGTGTAGGAGGGGAATTGTAGGGGAAAGGGAGACTTTCTTTTAAGGGGATAGAAACAAATAGAGCACTGGATGTGGTGCATAAACAATGAATTTTGGAACACTGGAAAGAAATAAAATAAAAAAAAAAAGAAAGAAACAACAACAACAACAAAACAAATTGAAGACTCCTAACTCTGGAACATTTGTGAGAGTTAGATGAGATGGAGGGATTTACACTTGCCACAGGTCACAGACACCTCCACAAATCACCTAGTTTCCTGGTATTTTTTATGAATGGAAATTGGGCCCCATGACAGTTACCGCCTTTTCCCCTTTTCACATGTTGCTTGATCTCCCTTTCTGTCCTTTGTGCTCACACACTTAAGGCCCTTTAGCCAAACCCTTGCCTATAACAGTATTTTAGTTACCAGCTATCACTGTTCCCTCTGGTTGTTGAGCCTTGAGATAAATACTGACAGAGCTATGAAATTGGAGAGGGACTTTGTTGGAACAGGTGACTTCTTCTAATCATATCTGTGCTTCTGGTTCCTTAAAAACAGTGGGTTGTGAATAATGCAGTGTGGACATCTTGCTATTTCTTAGTGACCAGATTGTGAATACTTCCAAGTGTATTTTTCTGTTATAATGTGACTGTGGGTCTTTGTTTTTGAGATAAAAAGTTCTGAGTGAAAAAAAAAACAGAACAGGTAGAATCATAAAACTATGTATTTATTTCATGATATATGGTCATTAGTATAATATAAAATTTTAGGAAAATGATTCACCTTGGTTAATTACACATTGAACCAGAAGATTGCTGAGAAGTATTTTGGATGTGTATCCCTTAGGGATTTTTCTCATGAGTTCAGGGGGTGCTTAGGAGATTTCCCTTAATACTGTCAATTGTATTTGCTCACACAAGCAAATATTCAGTGTCACTAAGAGCTGTGCACTACCTTATAGACTCAGTTCAACTGTTATGTTCAAAAGAATTTTCCTGAAATAAGATTAAGCTTCCTTTGTATGCTGGGTGATTTTTCCCTTGTCTTTAAAGTATAATGTGAAAGGCAGATTTATGGTCTTGGTATACAGAGATTCAAAATTCATTTTCTTCAGGATCAGATTTGCTGAGAATTAGGTCCTATGTGTGCAGCTATTTTTTGAAAGTCCTTAGGAAAAACACTTATTCTCAATGTAGAGGTAAAAAGCTGACTTTCATGTTCTTTAGATTAATTAACATAGTTTGTAACTCTGGAATCTGCAAAACTGAATTCCTGATTTTAGGACTATGGCTTATTTAACAGTAATGTTACAATTTCTTATATTGATACAAAAAGAAAACAAATTTCTTCCTAGTAACCAAAATGTGTATGTTGGAAGCTAAATAGGATTCAGTGTGACTTAAAAAAGGTGGTTTTATTTAAATAGAGTTAAGCTTTGTTCCTTTTGTTTTATACAGCTCTAGATCAATAACCAAAATTCATGCCTTTCTTCTAAAGGGATATAACAGAAGTATCTCCCGAACAGAAACGATAATACGCTTTGCTTTCCAAGCCTCTATCACAGTCCTGTGCATTGCATGCCCCTGTTCACTGGGACTAGCCACTCCAACTGCCGTGATGGTGGGTACAGGAGTAGGAGCTCAAAATGGCATACTAATCAAAGGTGGCGAGCCACTGGAGATGGCTCATAAGGTAAGATAGTCCCTGGAACAAAGAATTGTCCCATCTAACCTGGCAATAGCACCCGTATTGAGAGACAGAATCCAAAATTATTTCTACATGGTCCATAAGCTGAGCTTCTTCTGGGACTATCCTGAGGGTTGAGGTAGGAAAGGTGTTATTTTGGTTCTGTTCTGGATTGGTCTTAAGTTACCTAAGATCTCTAAAACTACTCCAGGCCTACTTTCTTAGAGCAGACCCTGATGTGGAAAACTTGGAGTCCTATTCCAGCTTAGATTAGAAATGTTGTCGTGTCAGGAAGAAAGAAGGGGTATTTGCCCAGGAAAAATGTGACTCCATGTTTGTGTTCTTCATTGTGAGACAGTGCTTATAGTAACATTGCAGTTCCTTTGCCTTTGCCACTAGCTGACAGTTTGCAGCTATGACTCCAAAAATATAATCATCCCTCATCTCTCTCATATTAGGATTTCCAAAACAATTTCAATCAAGGCTATTTGACTTCACCTAAAACCATGTTCCTTCTGATATGTTCTTATTATTGAGGATGTATAAACTGTATACAGATGTATGTAGTAAACACAGAACATAGCTTAAAATGGATTTGGAACCTCATTTAACCAGTGAATACAAGCTGTTAGTGTTTATAGTAATTTTTTATTTACTTTGATAAATTTCAAACTTAAGAATTAAAAGAACAGCATAAAGAACTCATATATACCCTTTACTGCAGATGTTGGGCTCCTTTCCTAACAACAAGGACATTCTTTTTCATAATCATAGTACAGAGATCAAAATCAAGAAACTGACATTGCTGTGATACTGTTACCTAACCTTTAGTCTATATTCTAGTTTCCTCAGTTGTTTCCATAATACTCTTTATAGCTATTTTTTCTCTTGTTCAAAATTATGCTTTGTATTTAGTTGTTGTATCTCTTTTCATCTTGGTTCCTCAAGCTATTCATTTTTCAAGGTTTGTATTCCAAGTTTACTGTGGGGTGACTGTGTTCTCTAATTCCAGGTTCTTCCGGTTTCCTGTCTGGGCTCAATTTCCCTTATGGGTTCACAGAGCTGTCTCTTCTCAGACCATGCTTCTCATTTAGACCCAATAAAGTCAAAGCAAACCAGCAGGTCTTGTCTGGTGCTCACTTCAATTTAATTACTTACCCTTCTCTTATAATAATATGCCTACTGCCTAGATTTCCACAACAGTTCTGGAATTCATTAGTATCGAAAGCCTTTCTCTTTCCCTGAGGCACTGAGTCATCTCTTAAGTATTATTAACAGTCAACTATTAACAATTAGTTCTAGTTGTTTAACATATATTTACAGTATGGTTGAACATTTGCAAGGGAAGGCTATTAGATGTCACTAGAGTATTTTTTCCCGTATTCTCCTTTACTTTTGCTCACTCAAAGACAGTTTAATTTATCAAGAAACAAAATATTCATCTGTTGAAGGAAACTTTTTTCTTATTTTTGGAAAAGTAGTATTAAGGATTATGAAGTCATATACGTGCAGTGTATTTTAATTTTCTTACAGGTAAAGGTAGTGGTGTTTGATAAGACTGGAACGATTACCCATGGAACCCCAGTAGTGAATCAAGTAAAGGTTCTAGTGGAAAGTAACAGAATATCACGCAGTAAGATCCTGGCCATCGTGGGAACTGCTGAAAGTAACAGTGAACATCCTCTGGGAGCAGCCATAACCAAATACTGCAAGCAGGTACCATTTTTCCTTTGTTTATTAATGGAGTTGTCTTCTACAGGAATTACACAGACCAAATCCAAACTGGTGTTTGACTATGATTTACATATATAATTGGTAGGAGGCTAAAGAGTCTTGTATTTTCTCATTTTATTTTTTATTTTTTTTAAAATCTTAAAGCCCTAATTTTATTTCTTTCTTTTTAAAAATTTTTATAAACATATAATATATTTTTATCCCCAGGGGTACAGGTCTGTGAATCTCCAGGTTTACACACTTCACAGCACTCACCATAGCACATACCCTCCCCAATGTCCATGACCCCACCCCCTTTCTCCCAATCTCATTTTATTTTATAATATGTGTTAGTTTCTTCATACAGAAGAGTATAAAGATGAAAACAGAAATTAACTATAATTTTATCACACAGATAACCCCTGTTGACTAAAAAATTAAAATGTAATTCATATTTATGATAGGAAAATTCAGATAGTTCAGAGAGTTACATATGAAAAAAGAAAGCCTCATTCCCTGCCCCCTTTCATAATTCCTCTCTCCAGAGTTTACAGTGTTAATCTGTTAACAGTCTTTTAAAATATAGTGGTCTTCCCTTATCTGCAGGGTATATGGTCCAAGACCTGAGTGGAAGCTTGAAACTGCAGAGCACTGAATCCTATATATACATGTTTTCTTCTATACATACATACCTATGATAAAGTTTAATTTATAAATTAGTCACAGTAAGAGATTAACAATAACTTATAATAAAATAGAATAATTATAAAAACATACTGTAATAAAAGTTATGTGAATGTGGTCTCTCTCTCTCAAAATTACTTGCCCTACTGTACTCACCCTTCTTGTGATGATGTGAGATGGTAAAATGCCTGTGTGATGAGATGAAATGAGATGAATGATTTAGGCATTGTGACTTGGCACTAGACTACAATTGACCTTCTGACGCTATGTCAGAAAGAGGATTGGCTACTTTCAGACTAGAGTTGACCACGAGTAACCGAAACCAAGGAAATGTGAAACCGTTGATGGGGGAGGGAGGACTACTGTAGCAGCTTTAGTGAGATACAATTCGCATACTCCAAAGTTCATTATAGATTGTACAATTCAATAATTTTTAGTATAGTCCCCAAAGTTTGCATTTGTTAACCATTTTAAATGCATATCTGAACATATATGCATTTATTTCTTTTTAGACTTTATGTAGAAAGATCACAGAGTGACCAATCTTTGATACCTTGTTTTTTTTTAATTGAGTGATTTTTCTCATATTAGGACATATAGATCTGCTGCATTATGTTAATAGCTATATTATGTTCTGTATGATTTTTTTGTTTCTTACAGTGTACAGTTAATGTTCTTGTCAGCTTTTGCAAGTTTACCTTTATGTTAAATTCCTATCAGTGCAATTGCTAGATCAAAGGATATATGCAGTTAAATTTTGATGAGTTTTACCAATGCCCACATAGCAAGTATTACCAATACCCACATAAAGGGTTGTACCAGTTTATACTTTCACCAAACGTTATTTGTGCTTATTTCCCCACATTCTTACTTTATTTTTTCCAGTTTAATAAATAAAAAATATTTACTCATTGATGGTTTGCTTTACATTTCCATAATTATAAATCAGGTTGAACATCTTTTCATTGGCTGTTTGAATTGCTTATTGTGTAACTTTTCTGCTTGTATCCTTTGTCTGTTTTTTTTTTATGGGATTGTTTACCTTTTTTTCATTGATTTGTGTAAGTTCTTTGTAAATTATCCAATTTTACAGTTTTGATGTGGTAATTCCTATTATTGGTGTTCTTTCCTTTTTACCAATTTACTACTACTGACCTGGCTTCTTTACACCCAAACCAAACAACAGAGAGGATGAAGATATAAAGAGTCAGGAAAACAATGATGGCCCCCAAATTCTTTGGCTTACTAAGGACACAGAATCATACTAGAGAGGCACTCTGGTAACTAAAGGCCCTGTTCTTTGTTACCCTTTGCCCTGTACTGAATAGAAAATCTGACTTGACAATAGAATTAAATATTTAACTTGTAATTCTCTATTGGAAAGGGCAGAGAATATTTTTAAACTTTCCGTGTTTTCTTTCTCTAAACTTGGTATGAATTTTAGAAAGTGGGATTAAAGTAAACAATTCTGATGTTTTGTTCTAAACATTTAGAAATAACTAGGCATGTAACATGTGTCTAAACATTTAGAATTAACCAGCAGTATGCTCTGATCGTGCTATTGATGACCTTGGATTATTAGAACAGCAGAAGAAATCCTTCTGTTTCTGTTTGTTAGGAGCTGGACACTGAGACCTTGGGTACCTGCGTAGATTTCCAGGTTGTGCCAGGCTGTGGTATTAGCTGTAAAGTCATCAATATTGAAGGATTGCTACATAAGAATAACTGGAAGATAGAGGAAAATAATATTAAAAATGCATCCCTGATTCAAATTGGTGCAAGTAATGAACAGTCATCAACTTCATCTTCCATGATTATTGATGCCCAGCTCTCAAGTAAGCTAATTTTCTTCATGGTACCAATTATGGGACAAATATTAACAGATGTCTAACTTTATAATCCTGAACTGTTAGATCAGAAGCAAAAATTTGACATCATGGTTTCATTCTGTCAGATAATTTTACCATAGGCCTTCTGGTCACTTCACTTGAGTTACTCAAAAACATTTCCCAATTGTGCTCCTGTGATTCTACCATAGGGTGATGAATTCTAGTCTTAGCTGATCTTCCATATTAGTTCATCTATCTTTCTTTTATTTCTTACCACAGCTACTCTAAACCTTTTATATCTTTCATGGGCTACTGTGGCCTTCTCCCTAGTTCCCTAAGTGAATTATCAGTTTTATTTTTCACATAGAAAATTAAGGTTCTCAGGCATTTGTTCTTTCTGCTTTTTGCCCAGAATGATTTCTCTTTCAGGGGAAAAGATATCCCGCATCTTGCATAATGAATCCTCTCATCTTTGTTCTAGATCCCACCCTTTCTTGATTCTTCAGGGACCTTACTCTGTTACATCCCCTCACTTCTTTATTTTCCAGCTGTGTATACTGGCTCCTTCTCCTAAACATATAAACATTTCTTCCATCAATATCACTATAATCCCTTCTAGATTGTATCCTGTCTCTTTTTTTCCTTTATATCTAACCTTCTAGAAAGAGTAGTCTCAGTTTGCTGAATTCACTTATTCACTGTGCAGCCTTGCTTCTGCCCTGTCCATACTACTGAAACTATTTTTTCTAAGAACATTAATGACCTTATTCAGTACTCATTCCAGTGGTTTCTTCTCAGTCTGCCTCTGGCATTTGAGATTTGAGAATATTGACCATTTTGTCTTTCAAAGCTCTTTCTTCTCTTAATTTCATGACCATTCGTTCTCTAGATTATCCTCTCACCTACCTGGCTGTTGCTTCCGGTCCTTCTCTGATTCCTCTTTTCTCCTGCTCTCAGATATTTGGTATCCCCAGGGTTTTGTTTTTTGTCTTTTTCTTCTTTTATATACTCTCTGTACAACCTCATTCATGTCTGTTGCCTGTTCTGCCTTCCGTAGGCTTCTACTACCACTCTAAAATCCACATCTCTAGCCAAAGCCTGTTTTCTGAGTTTCTGGTTGGTCTATCCATCTGCCCCAGAACATAATATACCCACCTAAGTGTTCTAGCACCTCCCTACCCATTTGCACTTGAGAGTAATTTTGCTAACCTACAAATATGATTATATATAACTGTCTGACTAGTACCTTTTATTATAGTGGTTTATAACTTATTTTTGAATCGTGAACCTTTGGAGGAATGTGATAAAAGTTATGCACACCCCTCGGAAAATTTTTGTTTTGGAGGTTTGCTTGTACCCTAAACCCTATCAGTGTGATTCTGTTAGGGATCCTGGCTTTGTTCACTGTCTCTCTGGACTTTGTTCCAGGTCCGTTCCCCATGATATGTCTTCTGCCTGCCTATACCACCCATTTTGTATTTTTCCACTGACCTCCATGTACTCTGTGTTCCATTCATACAGAACTACCTACAGTTCCTTTTTACAATGTGTCATTTCATGCTTATTAGATCATTTCATTTACTGTTTTCTCTGGGTAATGTTGTTGTCTCAGTGGCATCTACCTCATGGACTTATTTTCATCTTTCATCTTTCAAAACTCAGCTGACATCTCTCTTCAGCGAAGCCTTTGCTGACTGACATGTATAGGCAGATATATTTGCTCTTTTTTTAAAATTATAACTGTACTTCATCTTTGTTTTTTTTGTGCTAGGTACACTGCATGATAATACTTTATTTACCTGTGTGATTCTACCAAACTATAATTTATTTTTTGCAAACTTCTAGTGTCAAGCATACTGACACATAGAAATTTTGTTCATTTGACACCTTTTATTAAGCTCTTTCAAGACACTAAAGAATCAGCAGTAAGCAGAAAAGATAAAGTCACTATCTATTGGAGCTTCTATTTGTGGTGGGAGAACACAAAACAGTGAGCAAATAGATAAGAAAATATAAGATGTCTGATGGAGATAGTGCTGTAGAGTAGAGGGGTATAGGGATTACCCTATTTTATATAGGGTAATCAGGGTAGACCTCATTGAGAAGTTGGTGCTGGAGCAAAAACCTGAGAAGGGGGAGGGATAAAGCTATGTGAATATCTGTGACAAGAGCATTCCAGGTAGGAGGGATATTAAGTACCCAAGCCTAGTTTGAGAAACAGCAAGGAGAACAGTATGCCTAGGGCAGAGTAAATGAGTGGCAAGGGGGTAAGAGACGAGGTTAGAGAGTAGTACAGGACTAGATTAAGGTCATTAAAGAATTTTGGCTTTTACCCTTGAGACAGGAAGCCATCGAAGAGTTTTGTGTATAGGAGTGACGGAATCCAACCTATAAGTATTACCCTGGCTGCTCTGATAAAAATGCACTGTTGAAGGAATGGGGAGGGGAGGACAGAAGCAGGGAGATGAGTTAGTAGGTTGTCGCCATAATCCAGGTGAAAGATAAGAGTGGTTTGGACCAATGTGGTAACAGTGGAGGTCATAAGAAGTGGTCAAAATCTGAATGTGTTTTGAAGGGAGAGCTGGCTGACAAATTTTCTCACAGATTGGGTATGGGGTATGAGAGAAACAGGAGTCAAGAATTATGCCAAGGTTTGTGGCCTAAATGTTTATTTTAGAAGGATGAAGTTACCATTTAAATAGAATGGGGAAGACCATTGGAAGAGCAATATTGAAGAGAACTCCCCAGGAGATCAGTTTTTTACATGTAAAATTTGAGTGCCTACTAGATATTCAAGTGGAGTTGCCATGTAAATGGACATAACAAGTAGGCAGTTAGCTGCACAAGTCTGGAGTTCAAGGAAACAGAGTAGGTTGGAGATGTAGATTTGTGAGTCAACCACCTATAGATCTGTGCCTTCCAATATGATAGCCATTCAGTACATGTGACTACTGAAACTTAAATTACTTAAATTTAATTTAAAATTCAGGACTGCCTGGCTAGCTCAGTCAGAAAAGCATGTGACTCTTTTTTTTTAAAATTTTATTTATTTATTTGACAGACAGAGATCACAAGTAGGCAGAGAGGCAGGCAGAGAGAGAGGAGGAAGCAGGCTCCCTGCTGAGCTGAGAGCCTGATGCAGGGCTCCATCCCAGGACCCTGGGATCGTGATCTGAGCTGAAGGCAGAGGCTTTAACCCACTGAGCCACCCAGGCACCCCGAGCATGTGACTCTTGATCTTGGGGTCATGAGTTTGAGCCCCATGGTGGATGTACAGATTACTTAAAATAAATACATAAATAAACTTTAAAAAATAAATTTAATTTAAAATTCACCCCTTCAGCCATACTAGCCACCTTTCACTGCTCATATAGCCACATATTGTTAATGGCTACTGTATTAAACAGCAGATACAGAACATTTCCAAATTCTGTTGGACAAAGCTGGTATAGATTATATTTAAAGCTATGAGACTGGTTAAGATCACCAAGGAGTGAGACTAGATTGGGGGGGCGGGGAGAAAGTCTTTAAGGATTGAACCCAGCAATACAGTACATTAAGAGATCAGGGAGATCAGCAAAGAAGACTGAGAAGTGATGAGTGAGGAGGTAACTCAAGAATTTGGTGTCCTAGAAGCCAAGGACAGAAATTATTTCAGGAAGGAGGGAGTGATCAACTGTGTTAAATGCTGCTGATAGGGCAAGTAAGATAAGGAACAAGAATTAGCCATTAGGTTTATGAAAATAAGGGTCACTGGTATACTTCGTGAACAATTCTTTGGAGTAGTAGACACAAAAGCTTTATTGGAGTGGGTTCACAAGAGAATGGGAAGATATGACTTGGAAATAATCAAGTGAGACAACACTTCCAAGAAGTTTTACTGTGTACAGAAGCAGAAATTTGGGGCAGTAGTAAAGAGGTAAGTGAACTCAAGAGGGGTGTTTTGTTTTGTTATGTTTTGCTTTGTTTTTAAAGATAAGACTATGTGCAACAGAGATAGAAAATGTGGTTATGCAGGAGGAAGAGGAGAGGTTTTTTTTTTAAAGATTTTACTTATTTATTTGTCAGAGTGAGCACAGGCAGACAGAGTGGCAGGCAGAGGCAGACGGAGAAGCAGGCTCCCGCTGAGCAAGGAGCCCGATGTGGGACTCGATCCCAGGACGCTGGGATCATGACCTGAGCCGAAGGCAGCCGCTTAACCAACTGAGCCACCCAGGCGTCCCAGAGGAGAGAATTGTAGGAGAGATATTCTAGAATAAGCAAAGGAAGAGGGTTTACTGCCTAAGTGGAGAGGTTGGCCTTAAATAGGAGCAGGGGCGGTTTATAATAACAGGTGAGAAGCTAGATTGGTGGGTACATAGGCACAGGTAGTTGGTTAGATGTGGCAGTGAGAGCTTGCAGAAGTTCTCTTCTGATTGCTTTTAATTCTTTCTGAAGTAGGAAGCAGATTCATCATCTGGCCATAGGTGAGGGTGGGAGAAGAGAAGGTATAAAATAGCCCTCTAGAAGGAATGGAAAACGAATGGACTAGGGAAGTATAGAATTGCCAGAAAACACCAAGGACCTATATAAAGTTAGTGGTCACATGTTTAAAATGAGACATTTCTACAGTTGTATGTTTTCATCCAACCATATTAAGCTGCTGATGATGCACGATAAATATTTCAAATTTAATTCAGTTGTGTGGAAGATCAAAGAGAAAGCTTCACCAAGAAAGTATCATTTGAGTTGACTCTTGAAGAATATGATGCAGTTTGATAATTGGAGAGTAGGGGTAAGGACATTCCAGGTGGAGACAGCAACATGTGCAAAGGCCCAAAGGCATAGAAGAGCAGAGTATTTTCCTTGAAAATTTGGAAATCACTGTTGTAGGCTGTGGTCTACCAAAAATACAACATAGTGAGTGTGTAAGGTTAGACAGGAAGAACGTGCCTCACAGCATTGTTATAAATATTAAACAATCTCACTAAATGTTATTTCTGTACTTTATTTCAGGTGCTCTTAATGCCCAGCAGTACAAAGTCCTCATTGGTAACCGGGAGTGGATGATTAGAAATGGTCTTGTTATTAATAATGATGTAGATGATTACATGATTGAGCATGAAAGAAAAGGTCGGACTGCTGTATTGGTGGCAGTTGATGGTAAGGTTTTCCCTAAGTACCCTATGACTCAATGTTGCGATCTCAGTTATTATTTTATGTATATATTTTTAAGATTTTTTTATTTATTTGATACAGAGAGAGAGACAGTGAGAGAGGGAATACAAGCAGGGGGAGTGGGAGAGGGAGAAGCAGGCTTCCCACTGAGCAGGGAGCCTGATGTTGGGCTCCATCCCAGGATCCTGAGATCATGATCTGAGCTGAAGGCAGACGCTTAACGACTGAGACACCCAGGTGCCCCTATTTTATGTATATTTTTGAGAGACTTCTGAACTTGAGGGCTTTTGAAAAGAAGCCTGAATGCAAAAGAAAATGTTAGCAATACATAATTGTTACTGATTAATTTAGAATTCTCTTGCATTTGCCTGACTTTGTTATTTTCCTCCATAGCCTATGCTTTTTATTTTTTTTTAAAAAGCTAATCAGTAGTTGTATGTAACACCCATTGCTCATCACCACATGTGCTGTCCTGAATATCTATCACCCAGTGTTATAAGCAGCTAATGAATCGTTGAACACTACATCAAAAGCTAATGATGTACTGTATGCTGGCTAATTGAAGATAACAGTAAAAAATAAATAAAAATAAATAAAGGTTTTGTTTTTAGTGATTACACACCCCCAAAATAAAAAAAGCAAATCAAGGATTTTTTTAAAACCTAAAAATAACAAAACATTAAAGGAATAGGCAAGGGCGCCTGGGTGGCTCAGTGGGTTAGGCCTCTGCCTTCGGCTCAGGTCATGGTCTCAGGGTCCTGGGATCGAGTCCCACATCAGGCTCTCTGCTCAGCGGGGAGCCTGCTTCCTCCTCTCTCTCTCTGCCTGCCTCTCTGCCTACTTGTGATCTCTCTCTGTCAAATAAATAAATAAAATATTTAAAAAAAATAAAAAAATAAAGGAATAGGCAAAATAATATCTATAATTTCATCATCCTAACTCAGTGTCAGTTTTAATTGCATGTATTCCATTTCTGTTTTTGTGTGTGTATGTATATTTATATATATAAATATATATTTAATATAAAATTAAATATAATATAATTTATAATATAATATAATATTTAATATAAAATTAAATATATTTATATATATTAAATATTTATAACACATAATATATTAAATTATTAAATATTTATATATAATATATTATATATTTAGTTTTATATAAAATATATACAAACATACATATTTATATATGTATATATGTTATATACAATATATGTACAGAATTATAGGATTAGTATATATTATTTTTAAGTGGTTATATTTTGCATATAAATTTTACCTCAATAATTTGAGTAAAAATTTAAAATCCCTGTATACCTATTATATTTTGCTCTATACATTATTTGCTATATTCATAGTATTTTCTAATTTTATTTTACTTCCGATTAATTTATTATATACTTTAACTAACTTAATAATTCCCTCATTGGAAATTTAAGCTATTCCTAATATTTCGTCATTATAAATAATGCTATGATAAATATTTATGAGGTTTTAGGTGCTTTCTTTTGTTAAATTTTTTCTTGGGTAAATTTCTAGCTGTGAGATTAACTAGTCAACATTTATAATCCTTGCTAAGTATGAAGGCAGTATCTTTTTTCTTTTTTTAAAGATTTTATTTATTTATTTGACAGACAGAGATCACAAGTAGGCAGAGAGGCAGGCAGAGAGAGAGGAAGGGAAGCAGGCTCCCTGCTGAGCAGAGAGCCGGATGCGGGACTCGATCCCAGGACCCTGGGATCATGACCTGAGCTGAAGGCAGCGGCTTAACCCACTGAGCCACCCAGGCGCCCTGAAGGCAGCTTAACTATGATGTTTTTAGGCCCAGGAAGAAGCAAAAAATGCCATTTACTTTTGTTTTTTAAAATAAAATAACTGCTTGCAGTGATTTCCCCCCCCAGTTTAAAATGCTGGTTTTGTCTCAATCCACCCTGTTCACCTTAAAAAGAAAAGAAAAAAAAAAGTATCAGTTTTCAGTTTCATTTGCCTTTAAATGAACTAAAGGGTTTGGGAGGATTAACCAGTACTTCTCAAAGGAAAAAAAGAGTCTTTAAGTCTGCAATAAAGAGCTCTCTTTTCATTTTCCAGTTACTGCTTTTATTAGTAACCCTACCTCACTCTGAAATTTTCATAACGAAACATGGAGGTTTGTTGCAGATTTTGTAGAGTACAGCCTGTGTGGCCTTGGAGACATTCTGAGTTAAGCTTAAACCCCGAACAACTTTGCTTAACAAGATTAATTTCTTTCTCAAGTTTTATGTTAGAATATTATTCCTGCTTTCACCATATTCCAAACTCTCTCCTTTTCTGGTGCTCCTATAATAGATGAACTGTGCGGCTTGATAGCTATTGCTGATACAGTGAAGCCGGAAGCAGAATTGGCTGTCCGTATTTTGCAGTCTATGGGCTTAGAAGTAGTTCTGATGACTGGAGACAACAGTAAAACAGCTCGATCTATTGCTTCTCAGGTAATTGGTTTACTTAGTTGTTGGGGTGTGGGGAGGGTCTGTGGTAACTTCTGATTTTTTTAAAAGATTTTATTTATTTATTTGAGAGGGAGAGAGAGAATGAGAGAGCAAGAGAGCATGAGAGGAGACAGGTCAGCAGGAGAAGCAGACTCCCTGCTGAGCAGGGAGCCCAATGTAGGACTTGATCCCGGGACTCCAGGATCATGTACCAAGCCGAAGGCACTCATTTAACCAACTGAGCCACCCAGGTGCCCATTTTTAAATTTTTTTTCTTTTAAGATTTTATTTATTTATTTGAGAGAGAGAGAAAGAATGAGAGAGACTTCTAATTCCTCATATACATTTTGTTTCTTGCTTTCAAGTGCTAAAGATTCATATTACCTATTATGTTCCTTATCACTGAATATTGATATCTGGTTCTTTCAAGAACAGTTGGCATGCTGTGTTAGAAGGCGTTTGGGCTTTGTGTTACTGTTAACAACCAAAAAACCATTTACTTACTTCATGAAATGCTTCTGTGACACCATATACTAGTCTTTGTTGATACTTCCTTTGAAATGTTGCTCAGATTCTTTACCAGTGCTGCCAGCCTAAGTCGGGCACTCAGGCGCCCAATCTCTCTTGCCTAAATTACAGCAAGAGCTCCAGGCACTTCCCTCCCTGGTCCATCCTGAACATCACTGGTGGAACCATCGCCTAATGCACCACTTTGACATATTTTTCTGCTCCTGACCCCCATGATTGCCTTACCTACAAAACTTTTCTCATATTGGTCTTTTCTACTTCAGAATGCCTCCTCCCTCTTCTATTAAATAACATGAGTGATATATGAGTAAATTCTTATATAAAAATGCAGAAGGATATAAAGTAAAAAGTTGAAGTCACCTTTGCCCCAAGCTCCCTGTCTAGTCCTATCCCCAATTTTTCATAGGCATGTGTGTTCATACACAAATGTAGAGTTCTGGTATTTTTCAACATAAATTACATCACTTTTCTAAAGATTGCTCATTCAGTAGTTTGCTTTTTATTTTTTATTTATTGTATTTTGTTTTTTAAAGATTTTATTTATTTGAGAGAGAGAGCACAAGCAAGGGGGAGAGCACAGGCAGAGGGAGCAGCAGACTCCCTGCTAAGCAGGGGCCCCGATACAGGACTTGATCCCAGGACCCCTAGGATCATGACCTGTGCCAAAGGCAGACACTTAACTGACTGAGCCACCTAGGAGCCCCAGCAGTTTGCTTTTTATACATAATAACATATATGCCTTTGTCCATATCTGAACATACAAAATTATGTTAGCCTTTGAACATTACTACATGGAATTCTATGGTATGGATATATCATAATTTACTTAAACATTCTTCTAAAGATGGGTATTTAGGTGGTTTTGAAGGTTTTGTTACAAACAGGCAGTGATGTAAATCTTTGGACATACAAATCTTTTTTGGGGGGGGCTGGTTTTCAAAGACCTTTCATTTTTCATTTTTTATTTATTTATTTTTTAAATTTTATTTTAGTTCCAGTATAGTTAACATACAGTGTTATATTAGACTCAGGTCTACAACACAGTGACTCAACAGTTTTATACATTACTCAGCACTCATCATGGTAAGTGTACTGTTAATCCCCTTCACGTATTTTATTCATCCTCCCACCTAACTCTTCACTAGTAACCATCAGTTTGTTAGCTATAGTTCAAGAGTCTGGTTTTTGGCTTGTCTCTCTGTCTTCTTTTGTTTGTTTGTTTTGTTTCTTAAATTCCACATATGAATGAAATCATATGATATTCGTCTTACTCTGACTTATTTCCCTTAGCATTATACCCTCTATATCCATCCATGTTGTTTTAAATGGCAAGATTTCATTCTTTTTATGGCTGAGTAATATTCCATTGTATAAATATACTACATTATATATATACACACACAAACACACACACACACACACACACACACACACACACACATTATCCGTTCATCTATCAATGGACACTTGTACTACTTCCATATCTTGGCTATTGTAAATAACATTACAGTAAACACAGCAGTGCATATATTTTTTTGAATTAGTGTTTTCATATTCTTTGTGTGAATACCTAGTAATGGAATTACTGGATCATATAGTAACTCTATTTCTAACTTTTTGAAGAACCTCCATACTGTTTTTCAGAGTGGCTGCACCAGTTTGCATTCCCACCAACAGTGTAAGAGAGTTCCCCTTTTTCCACGTCCTTGCTAGCATCTGTTTCTTGAATTTTTGATTTTAGCCATTCTGACAGGTATGAGATGATATCTCATTATGGTTTTGATTTGCATTTCCCTCATGATGAGTAATGTTGAACATCTTTTCACGTGTCTGGTGGCCAATCTGTATATCATCTTTGGAGAAATGTCTGTTCATGTCTTCTGCCCATTTTATTATTGGATTATTTGTTTTCTGGGTGTTAAATTTGGTAAGTTCTTTATATATTTTGGATACCAACCCTTTATCAGCTGTGTTATAGGCAAATACCTTCTCCCATTCTGTAAGTTGTTTTTTAGTTTTGTTGATTGTTTGCTGTGCAGAAGCTTTTGTATTTTGATGTTATCCCAATAGTTTATTTTTGCTTTTGTTTCCCTTGCCTCAGCAGACCTATCTAGAGAGATGTTGCTACGCCCAAAGTTAGAAAAATTACTGCCTGTGTTCTCTGCTGGGAGTTTTATGGTTTCCTGTCTCACATTTAGTTCTTTAATCCATTTTGAGTTTATTTTATTTTAGTGTAAGAAAGTGGTCCAGTTTCATTCTTTTATACATAACTGTTCAGTTTTTCTAGCACCATTTGTTGAAGAGACTTTTTCTATGGCATAGTCTCACCTCTTTTTTTCAAAGACTAATTGGCTATATAATCCTGGGTTTTTTTTTTGGACTCCATTCTGTTCCATTGATCTGTATTTCTGTTTTTGTGCCAGTACCATACTTTTGATTACCACAGCTTGGTAGTATATAGCTTGAAATCTGGGATTGTGATACCTCCAGTTTTGTTCTTCTTTTTCAAGACTGCTTTGGCTATTCAGTGTGTTTTGTGGTTCCATACAAATGTTAAGATTATTTGTTCCAGTTCTGTGAAAAATGCTGTTGGTATGTTGATAGTGACTGCATTAAATCTGTATATTGCTTTGGGTTGTATGGACATTTTAACACCTGTTCTTCCAATCCATGAGCATGGAGTATCTTCCCATTTGTTTGTGTCATCTTCGATGGCTTTCACTGGTATTTTATAGTTTTCAGAGTACTAATCTTTCAGCTCTGTGGTTAAACTTATTCCTACGTATTTCATTATTTCTGGTATAATTGTAAATGCTATTGTTTTCTTAATTTCTCTTTCTACTACTTCATAATTAGTATTTAGAAATGCAGTGAATTTCCGTATATTGATTTTGTATCCTATGACTTAACTGAATTCCCTTATCAGTTCTAGTAGTTTCTCAGTGAAGTCCTTAGGCCTTTGTATGTATAGTATGTCATCTACAGGTAGTCAAAGTTTTACTTCTTCCTCACCAATTTGGATGCCTTTTCTTTCTTTTTTTAAGGATTTTTTAATTTATTGGGTGTAAGTAAGGGGCAGAGGCAGAGGGAGAGGGAGAAGCCGACTCCCCGCTAAGCAAGGAACACAGTGCAGGGCTCTATCCCAGGACCCTGGGATCATGACCTGAGCTGAAGGCAGATGCTTAACCGACTGAGCCACCCATGTGCCCCAGATGACTTTTATTTCTTCTTGTTATCTGATTGCTGTGGCTATGATATCCAGTACTATGTTAACTAAAAGTGGTGAGTGGACATCCTTGTTCTGTTCCTGACCTTAGGGGAAAAGATCGCCGTTTTTCACCATTGAAGATGATGTTTGCTGTGGGTCCTCTAGTCTCCTGTTTATTCTCTCTAGCATATTTTTAATTTCAGCTGTTGATTTCTTCAGCTCCATTTGCTTCTTTTTTGTGTTTTCTGTCTCTTTGTTGATGGTCACCCTGAAGTCTCCACTGTTTTCTTAAGTCCAGTGAGTATCCTTATGACCATCACTTTGGGTTATGTATCAGGTATATTATTTATTTTCATTTCTTCTAGCTCTTTTGCTGTGATTTTGCCCTGTTCTTTCATTTGGGCAATAGTCCTCTGTCTCCTCATTCCAACTTTCTTCTTTGAGTCTATGTGTTAGAAAAGTCACCTACATCTCCTGCACTTGAAACTGATGTCCTTATGAAGAAAAGCTCATTTAGTACCCTGCAGTGCAGTATGCCCCTCCACCCCCTGTTCACTAGATTCTGGCACTTCATGGGTGTCTCCTATCCGTATTGCATGCACCAGACTATTTTGGCTGAGCCACTTTTGCCTTTTGTCCAGTTGTCTGCAACGTCTCTTTTTGCTTTTTGGTAGCAAGATTTAGTCCCCATGGCATTAGTGGGCCAGTCTGGGGCTGCCTTGACATGAGTTGAGTCAGACCAGTTTTTTGCCAGAGATGTGCTAGCACCAACCTATAGGGTGTTCTCCCCGTGTTGTCCCCTGAGAAGCTTGCTTTGGTGGGTAGAGCCTGCCACCAGACCCCATATCGGCCTCCAGCACACTGCTGGGCCCCCAGTTAGTCTTGGGTGTGTGTTTGTCTTCCCCTCTGCCTGGGGCCAGAGCTACGTTGGTAAGGTTCTGACCCCTTTCAGGGCTGCTTATGCACTGCCAGGCTGTGGCACTGCTCTGGAAGGGCTCCGGCCAAGGGCATGCTAGAGGGGGCAGGTCTATGGGAGAGAGTGTGGGCAGGGTGTGGGGTTCCAGCAGGGTCTGCGCTAGCCTGCTGTGGGAAGGTACCTGTAGCCACTAGGGAAAACTGCTGTCGGAGGGGGTGGATCTGCAGGATTGTCTGGCAGCAGGGCACACTGTTGGTAATCTATGTGGAGAGAGTTGGCACTGGGCTAGTTACCACAGGCGTTGGGGTATCTTGGCTGGGGGCAGGGGAGGGAAATGCTGCCTACCAGGTCTTTTGTTCTTGGAGCAGTCTCTCAAAGATCCTTGCCCCTACTGCACACACTCTGAGATTAGTAAACAAATCTCTGTCCTGTATACCCCAGGCATTTTTCAAACTGCTGTTTCTATGCTGTTGAAGCTGTTTGTTGTGCTGTCTGCATGGGGTGGCTGTGGGGAGCGGGGGGGGGGGGGCTCAGTTTCTTATTGCCATCTGGCTCTCCCAGAGCTGAACTAGCTGATTTTTGAAGTGCCAGGTGTTAAGCCCCACTGATTGTAAGAACTTGCAAAGCCAGGCCCCTCTGGTTCTCAAAGCCAACCTCTGCGGGGACTTGCCTTCCCTCTGCAGGCCCCTGTACCTGGGGCACCCACTGTAGGGGTCTATTCCTCTCCCCTCCCAGGCCCACTACACTCCTCCCTCTCACAGACTGTCCCATGAGTCCACCCAGCTCCAGACCTTATCTCCCCCTCCACACCTTCCTCAACATGGCCTCTTCTCTATACCTAACTGTGGAGAGTCTATTCCACCAGTCCTTAGACCATTCTCTGAGCCATTCATACTGATGTGGGTGCATCCAGTTGTGTCTATGGGACAAGGTGAGCCCAGGATCCCCCCACTTTGCCATCTTCCCTGGAAGTCAAACGTATGTCTCTTTATACTTGTATAAATATGTCCAGAATATGGCTGGAAGTGGAACTGTGCAATCAAATGATGTGTGCACTTTGATAGATCCTACCAAATGCCTTCCAAAAAGACCATAACAGTTTACACAACCACCAAGAATATATAAGAGAGCTCACTTCTCCATATCCTTCCTATCACTGGATATTATCAATTTTTGAAATTTTGGACCTCTGGTGGGTGGAAAATGATGGTCATCATTGCTGTGTTATATTTAAGGGACCAGTAATGTTTCTTCAAATGAATTGAGTTTATTTCTCTCCCTATAGGTTGGCATTACAAAGGTGTTCGCTGAAGTTCTCCCTTCTCATAAGGTTGCTAAGGTGAAGCAACTTCAGGAGGAGGGGAAACGGGTTGCAATGGTAGGAGATGGAATCAATGACTCTCCAGCTCTGGCAATGGCTAATGTTGGGATTGCCATTGGCACAGGTACAGATGTAGCCATTGAAGCAGCTGATGTGGTTTTGATAAGGGTAAGTCCTGTGGCCTGAACCTTGAGGTCTGTGATAATGGTACACATGGTCAGGGATAGTGTTGTAAAGTATTTCGAGTAGGACATTCTTTTCCTTCTAATTCCTGTCCTCCCAGCCTTTGAGACTAGGAGAATTCAGGATGGGAGTATGAGAAGGAATACTAATTACTTCCAGATTTTCTCAATCAAGTGAAGCAGATGAGAATGACAAGCTTCTAAAGGAAAGAATAAGATTGGGGGATATACTTATAATAAAACTATCTTCAACAAACCCTTGCTGAGATTGTTTTATGTGTGGTAACCTACATAGCAGCATATAACCCAAAAAGTGTTTTTAGATCCCTGAGAAAAATTCCTGGAAAAGCATCTTCCAAAGCTGACTGAAATTTTTAGCAATATTTGAAATTTATAGTTAATTCATATTACCCACCCTAAGGTACACATGATCTTCAAAATCGCAGTGTCAAATATAAAGTATTCATTAATTTAGAGTCTCTCACTAATATTACAAATATTTCTGTTCTCAGAATGATCTTCTGGATGTAGTGGCAAGTATTGACTTATCAAGGAAGACAGTCAAGAGGATTCGGATAAATTTTATTTTCGCTCTGATTTATAATCTAGTTGGAATTCCCATAGCTGCTGGTATGTGACTATTAGCTAGTGTTACTTTCTCCTCTGAAGTCATTAGAGACCTATCATATTGGAAAGTTTAGTCTTATTAGCTTTGAGCTCAGTTTTTATATGTAGCTTGCTGGTGTGGTGAAAGGTAATATTAAAATCAGTAATTGTAATTTTGAGCAATGTTCATTATAGCATAAAATGTATATGCATTCTGATAGGTTTATTTTAATTTATTTTCCCCTCCAACTTTATATTTTGAAAAATTTCAAAGCTATACATAACCAGGGTCAAAGATACAATGAAAACCTATATAATCTTCATTTAAGTTAACCAATGAGTAGTACTTTCCCACATTGTTTCATCTCTTTCTCCATATGCTCTCACATTTATATTTATGTTTTTATTTATTTATTTATCTTTTGCTGAAGAGAACAAATTTACTTTTATTTTTATTTTTTTTTTCAAATTTACTTTTAAAGATTTATTTATTTATTTGAGAGAGAGAGAGAAAGTTAGCATGAGCAGGGGGAGGAGCACAGGGAGAGAGAATCTACAGCTGACTTCCTGCTGAGCAGGGAGCCCAATGCAGGACTCAATCTTAGTGAGATCATGACCTGAGCCAGAATCAAGAGTCAGATGCTTAGCCAACTGAGCCACTCAGGTGCCCCAAGAACAAATTTACTTTTAATCTCACTACCCAAACACAAGCACTGTTAACATTTTAGTGTATTTACTTCCAGTCTTTTTTTACTTTGCATCAGTTTTTCTGTCTTGTTACATAGTTATAATTATAGCATGCAGAGAATGTTTGGCTCTTCACTTAAAATTCTAATAGCCGGGGACGCCTGGGTGGCTCAGTTGGTTAAGCAGCTGCCTTCGGCTCAGGTCATGATCCCAGTGTCCTGGGATCGAGTCCCACATCGGGCTCCTTGCTCAGCAGGGAGCCTGCTTCTCCCTCTGCCTCTGCCTGCCATTCTGTCTGCCTGTGCTTGCTCTCTCTCCCTCTCTCTCTCTCTGACAAATAAATAAAATCTTAAAAAAAAAATTCTAATAGCCAACAGGGTTTATCTTTTAAGTTTGGGTACCAGGAGAGAGAGACAGGGAGAGATGGAGAAAGAGGGAAGAGGTGGGGGAAGGGAGAGAGCGAGAGGAAAAAAGCAGGGGAGAAGGAGGGAGATTGATGGATTGAGTAAAGGAATATGACCAAGCAAAAGCAATTTAGAATTTTTAAACAAACATTTGATAATGTCTTGTACTTAGAGACTTTGTGGGAGTTAGTAATAAATTGTATTTTTTTTTTTAGAGAAAGAGAGTGCAGGGGGAGGGGCAGAGGGAGAGGGAGAGAGAGAATCTTAAGCAGGCTCCACACCTGCTCAGAGTCCAGTGCTGGACTTGAGCTTATGACCCTGAGATCATGACCTGAGCCGAAAGCAAGAGTTGGATGCTTAACAAACTGAGCTACCCAGGCACCCCAGGAATTAGTAATAGTAGAGTTATCACTTTTTTCTTGTTATCTCTGATTTGAGAGCCAAAGAAGGACATGAAATGATGTAAGAACAATTACAAACCTGTTTATAAACAAGAACACAAAATGCTGAGGAAACAAAAAATGAACAATCAAAATCCAGAAAGATTAATTCATAGAGCAAGTGATTTTTTAAAAATTATGTAAGTAGTTTTGGGGTGGAGTCTTTTGGGTTTTCCATATAAAGAACCATGTCATCTGCGAAGAGAGAGAGTTTGACTTCTTCATTGCCAATTTGGATACCTTTTATTTCTCTTTGTTGTCTGATTGCTGTTGCTAGGACTTCTAATACTATGTTGACAAGAGTGGTGAGAGTGGGCATCCTTGTCGTGTTCCTGATCTCAACGGGAAGGCTGCAAGCTTTTTCCCATTGAGGATGATATTTGCTGTGGGTCTTTCATAGATAGATTTTCTGAAGTTGAGGAATGTTCCCTCTATCCCTATACTTTGAAGCGTTTTCATCAGGAACAGATGCTGGATTTTGTCAAATGCTTTTTCTGCATCAATTGAGAGGACCATGTGGTTCTTCTCTCTTCTCTTACTGATTTGTTCTACAACATTGATTGATTTGCGAATGTTGAACCATCCTTGTAACCAAGGGATGAATCCCACTTGGTCATGGTGGATAATCTTTTTAATGTGCCATTGGATCCTGTTTGCTAGGATTTTGTTGAGAATCTTAGCATCCATATTCATCAGTGATATTGGTCTGAAATTCTCCTTTTTGGTAGGGTCTTTGCCTGGTTTGGGGATCAGGGTAATGCTGGCTTCATAGAAAGAGTCTGGAAGTTTTCCTTCTGCTTCAATTTTTTGAAACAGCTTCAAGAGAATAGGTGTTATTTCTTCTTTGAAAGTTTGGTAGAATTCCCCAAAGGAATCCATCAGGTCCTGGGCTCTTGTTTTTTGGGAGGTTTTTGATCACTGCTTCAATCCTGTTACTAGATATCAGTCATTCAGGTTGTTAATTTCTTCCTGATTCAATTTTGGGAGTTGATAGTTTTCCAGGAATGCATCCATTTCATCTAGTTTGCTTAGCTTATTGGCATATAACTGTTGATAATAACTTCTGATGATTGTTTCTACTTCCTTGGTGTTAGTTGTGATCTCTCCCTTTTCATTCATAATTTTATTAATTTGGGCTTTCATCATCACTAGCCATCAGGGAGATTCAAATTAAAACCACGTTGAGATACCACCTTACACCAGTTAGAATGGCCAAAATTAGCAAGACAGGAAACAACATGTTTTGGAGAGGATGTGGAGAAAGGGGAACCCTCTTACACTGTTGGTGGGAATGCAAGTTGGTGCAGCCACTTTGGAGAACAGTGTGGAGATTCCTCAGGAAATTAAAAATAGAGCTTCCCTATGACCCTGCAATTGCACTACTGGGTATTTACCCCAAAGATACAGATGTAGTGAAAAGAAGGGCCATCTGTACCCCAATGTTTATAGCAGCAATGGTCACGGTTGCCAAACTGTGGAAAGAACCAAGATGCCCTTCAACGGATGAATGGATAAGGAAGATGTGGTCCATATACACTATGGAGTATAATGCCTCCATCAGAAAGGATGAACACCCAACTTTTGTGTCAACATGGACGGGAGTGGAAGAGATTATGCTGAGTGAAATAAGTCAAGCAGAGAGATCAGTTATCATATGGTTTCACTTATTTGTGGAGCATAACAAATAACATGGAGGACATGGGGAGATGGAGAGGAGAAGGGAGTTGAGGGAAATTGGAAGGGAGGTGAACCATGAGAGACTATGGACCCTGAAAAACAATCTGAGGGTTTTGAAGGGGCGGGGGGTGGGAGGTTGGGGGAGTCAGGTGGTAGGTATTATGGAGGGCACGTATTGCATGGAGCACTGGGTGTGGTGCAAAAACAATGAATACTGCTACGCTGAAAAGAAATTTAAAAATTATATAAGTAGGGGCAGAATGGAAAAAATTATGCAAGTAATATATGATCACTGTAGAAAAAAGAAAACTAGATAAGCACATAAAAAGTTATAAGTACTATAAGTCTATCTTATCCCTGTCATATAAGCCAAATGTTCAAATGTCTGTCAAGTTCATATGCTATTCATTCACTCTTGGTGGGATTATATGGTGCAAGGCACTCTGGAGAACTGAGGAATATCCACCTAAAGTTGAAGATGTGCCCATGTCATAATCCAGTTTCATCTCTAGGCATGACCCTAGAGAAGTTCTAATATGTGCACAGGGAGACACGTACAAGAATGTTCACAACAGCACTCTATCCTCCTATTGGTGGAGACTTATGTCGCTGCCAATTTTTCCACATAGAAAGTACTGAATAAATATCAAACAAGGAATTGATGTGTATGTATGTATTAGAAACACATTAATAATCTGTTTAATGCTCTTTGCTCTAACTAATCCACACTTGTTTCCTAGGAGTTTTTATGCCCATTGGTTTGGTTTTGCAGCCCTGGATGGGATCTGCTGCAATGGCTGCTTCATCTGTTTCAGTAGTACTTTCCTCTCTCTTCCTTAAACTGTAAGTATGATGGCTCACTCATGTTTGTATTTTTTATTCCCTTAATCATCCACAGTCAGTCTTGGTAGGTCTCATTCTTATAGGATGGGCCCCAACTGTTCTTAATAATAAATGTTAGCTATGTGATTATCATCTTATGTAGTCTCTACCTAGCCACTACAGCACTGAGTGGGGTAAAATGTAGTACATTGGCTCTGAGAAGTAGAATTTCTCACCATGTGACTCTATACAATTTTAGGGGGGTGAATTTCCTAGCAGGAACCACCTTTGTAGATTTCATACCAGGCAAATAGATTTGCAGGTTTGACTGTAACAAGTGTCTAGTTCACATTTGCTTATTTCACACTAGTGTATTTTGCATGTGTTCAGTTACAGAAAACCAACTTATGAGAATTACGAACTGCATGCCCGAAGCCAGATGGGACAGAAGAGGCCTTCAGAGATCAGCGTTCATGTTGGAATAGATGACACCTTGAGAAACTCCCCTAAACTGGGTTTGCTGGACCGGATTGTTAATTACAGCAGAGCCTCCATAAATTCACTGCTGTCTGATAAACGGTCCCTCAACAGCATTGGTACCAGTGAACCTGATAAGCATTCACTTCTGGTGGGAGACAGTAGGGAAGATGATGACACCTCATTGTAACAGGCCGCACAGAGTACTACTAGCTGATGTTGTAACGTGCTGATACAGCATTAACGATATCTCCTTAACTTCTCGAAATACTGTGGAAGGACTTTCTGTTGGTCTCATGCCCTTATGTTAGGGAATATCTTTGAATTGCATTTGTCTAATGGCAAAAATATCTTTTTTTCAGAGCATTAGCTCTCAACCTAGCTTTATTTAAGGTGAATTGCCAATACTTTTTGTTTTCACTAGGAACAGATAAGGTAGGCCAGTGAGGTTTACAACAAGCCCCACAATTGAAGATTGCGGAATTGCTGCTAAAGTGACAGATGACTTTTTCTTTGACCAAAAAGAAAAGGCTCAAGAAAAAGGATACTTAAAAGTTTGAAGATCTGAGACCATGATCTTGAGGACATTCTTGAGCTCTCAGCCCTGCCAGGTTGGGGAACAAGGGCTTTTAAAACACTGTATAAAGCATCTGGTTTTAGACGGAAAACAGTAGAAACTGTTTAAAAATAGACGTGCCTTATTTATTATAGGCTTTCTTCTCCCCTGATTGTCCCTGCATCTTTGTCTTTGCAGTTGTTTCTTAGATGCCTTAGTATGATTCTTTATTGTTGTTGTTCTTTACAGTGAGTTAAGTGTAGGTGATTTTTGATTGATAAAAATAACTGATAACTTTTCTAATATCATCTTCCTTTATTTATCTTGTAGCCCAAAAGACCGTAAGGGTCCAGAGGGTTCCTTGTTTCCTATATTTCCACTGTAAAAAAAAAAATGGATTGGATTCTTCTTTCATTGACACCCTAGCTCTGTACAAACCTTCAATTCACTCCTGCTGACTTTCACTGTAAATTGTTCTTAATCTATCAGCCTCAGTCCAGAAACTTAAGATTTTTTTTATTAACATATATTATTTGCCCCAGGGGTACAGGTCTGTGAATCATCAGGTGTACACATTTCACAGCACTCACCATAGCCCATACCCTCCCCAATGTCCATCACCCAGCCACCCCATCTCTACCCCCACTCCCCAGCAACCCTCAGTTTGTTTTGTGAGATTAAGAGTCTCTTATGGTTTGTCTCCCTCCTGATCAAAACTTAAGATTTTGAGCCTCTTCCACAATTGACTTTTTCAAAGATTAATATCTTATCATCTTTAACATATACGGGTCATATGAAATTACCTGGACTCATTAAATTTGTCCTTCTTTTGGAGAGAATACAAGGACTTTAGCTGGTATATATAATTTAATATATTTTAATGATATTTTAGTATTTTATATGACTTCTCAAAATGACTTTAAAATAATACTATTATACAAAGCAGCACTTACCAAAAAACACAATAGTTGTAATACAGAAATGAGAATTTCCCTAGGTTGTGATACCTTTTAGTCAAATTTCTAATTTTCTCTAGTATAAAACATTTGCTCTTGCTAGTTAGCGTGGGTCGTAAATTCAGGGGCTATTCTCAGTGCCATATACATTTAGAAATCCCCTTCTGAGTGCCTAAGAGTTAACACACTGGTCAGAGATCTGGCACTTGCACCACTATCTAAATTCCTTGTTAATTGCAAGATGGATTTCATATGCAGAACATGGAAGTGAAAATAAATAAATAAATTCCTAACATTTTGTTCCTATCACCATATGTAAAGCTGTTAGCACAATGCCTAGCACATAGGATTTACACTTAGTACTTTTTTCCCCTTGAGGTCTGTAATGAATATTAATAATCAATTTTTTTAGGGGAGAGTCTACAATCAGGTGAGAGTGGGGGATGTGTTTCTTTCTCTCCTATTTCCTTTCTCTCTTATCCTTTCATACACACACAAAAAGTTTACCACATTATTCCATTTTGTCTTTAAAGATTTGGAAAAAAACTTATTTTTATCTCCACTATCTTAAAGAGAGAACTGAAACTACTGATGAAGGTGCTATTAATCTAGAAAGGCAAAACCATCCTAATGAAATATGAATGTGTTTGTATGTGTAGGCTCTTTAAATGCCTCTGCCATCTTCCATGCTTCCGCTTTGAATTTTAATATTTGTTTTTTATTTTTAATTCTAGTGGTTCATCATACCACAACTTGTTTCTTCTAGAAGAAACAGCTAATAAGACAAATGTATAATAGACTTTTGAAAAAAGAAGCACCTCTCTTTCTTTCTCCCCTACTCTTTCTCTGTCTTTGAAACACTTGAACATAGTCAGTTACTACTTTGATTTCCATGTGTGTTTGTGAATTGTCCTTTTGGTTCCCACTTGCCAAGGGACCCACATGTCCTAGGACAGTGAGAAGAGCAGCCTATAGTCTGGGAATAATGAAGGATCTAATTTCAACCCTTACTATTAGAACAGAAAACATGTTTAGAAAGAATCCTATTTTAAGTATCTGTAACCATCTTTGAATTCTCTACCACAAGTCTCTTTTGTAATCCTGAACTCCCAATTAGCTTCATAGAGCAGCTGTATTCACAGGAGAGAGAGAGAGAGAGAGAGAGAGAGAGAGAGAGATGATAATCAGGATTAAAAACATTGGTTTTAGTTAGTAAGTAGCTTTAAGTAACTAGTGACTAGTGAGAACAAATGTTATAAATGTATATGTGTGTATGTGTATGTCTATACATACATATGTACACACACATATTTACCATATAGAAGTAAAATGGATTTATATTTGAATTTGATATTTGACTATCTGAAGATCTTTATTTGTCCTTCCTTTATCACTCTTCTATATTCACTCAGTAACCATGCTGTCAGTCTGAAGATAACAAGGATGTTTTGATATCCAGTGCTGGTTCTTACTCAACTATGGGGCACCTTTTATCTTGAATATCCAAAGATGCCTTTTGAATTTCAAAGGTTAAAACACAACTAGAGTATTTAGTGTCCTAGTCTAAAGAAGTATGGTGGTCAGTTGTGCAAATAGAGATGTTCTTAGTTTAGTATCAGCATTTTAGAGTGTTAAATTTGATGCCTTGTGAACAAAAAATTTTATATTGTGCTTTAACTTTTTAAAAGTTTATTTTTTTCTTTTTTCACATGTCTTCTTCAGAATGCTTAAAATAGCACTGTAGACAAGATGTTTCCAAAAATTTAAATGTGCGTCTCTTTTATGTACACAGCTTAAAATCAAGAATATATGTTCTTTGAGAAATTTTTTCCCATTTCTTGTGAATCTTGCTTTAAGATTATTTTTCTTAATATTTATTTTACTCTATTTTGTTACTTTCTTTGGGTGAGGCATCTGGTTATTGGTTGTTTTAACAAGAATAAAAACATTCCTAGAATCACTCCCTTTGGATTTTTTGCTTGCTTATTTCTTACTTTTCTATATTTAAAAATCTTATCTTACCAAATATAGAAAATACGGATTCATGCTGAATTATTAGCTGTTTTTGACACTAAGTTTCTGTAGTCCCTCTGGAAGTTTATCTGGTGTAAATAACCAGGTAAAGCACAAAAACATGAAATCTCATTCTTCAATTAAAAGAGCTTCTATCATGGCATTGATAATAGATACCTTTTGTAGCCAAAACCAGGCGTCTCAACCGTATGTTTTTAGTTAAGTGTTTAACTAATCATTGTTAAACATTGGTTGGTACCCAAAACAGGACAATGTGCAATAATCGTCTTCTACAGTTAAAATATTCAGTAGTTTTTCCATAAGCATGTAATTGATCATATTTCTGCCAGGGATGTGCCTTCAATTTTATAATTATAGTATTGTAGAGAAATGTTTTTTGTCAGTGTCTCTTTTGTTAAACCATCCAACTCTTCTTCTGGCAGTTGCAAACTACCCTGGTTTAGTTATTTTTTTTTTTTACTGTTCATCAATGATGGGGCAGGATTGGAGGCAGCATTACACATTAACTAAGAGTGGGAGAAAAGAAAACTCTGGTTTCCTTCAGTTCTATCCCACCTGCTGTATTGTTTTAGTGAGGGTGGAAAAGCAAAGGAAGGAATATAGTTGTCCTCAAAAGGGGTTTTGTGCTCTCTAATACATTCTTGAGATTGTCTACCCCAAATGGGTTTAATGGAGACAAGAGGTTTTCTTGCATTTGGGCGTCCCTATACAGTGTTTGAGGATCCCACCCAAAATATATTCCCACACCAAGCACTTTTGTGGGCTAAGGAAAGGGTTTTAAACTTATTGTAAGGAAAACCTCGTTTTCATTTCTCTCCCCCAGTCTTGAGACTATTCAGGTTGATGAGATAGGATTGGAAGTGGAAACAGAAGAGTAAAATTCCTGAACCATCCACTTAGCTGCTCAGCTCCCCCTCTTCTATTTGGGTCTTGACTAACCTCCAAGAAGGGTGTTCAGGATAGCAACATCCCAGGAGAGGTTTCAAAACCTTCCAGACAAAAAATAAAACAAAAAACCAGAAAAACCTTCCTATTAGGGAATGTTTGCTAGGTCAAGGCATTGAAGTCCCTGCTAAAATTCAGACAGATGAGAGAGGGAGAGCTGTTATCTTTCCCAAAGCTGACCAGAACCCACCAATCCTACTTGCTTAATAGCTTTCTCTTCGTAGACATAACTACTGGTTATGGAGATGAGTTAGAAGTGAGGGGTGAAAGGCAAGACTCCAGGACAAGGTTTAAGTGAAGATGCTATTATAAATAGGATCTCATGCAATTTAAGAAATCTGAGAACTTCCATGCAGTCTTCTCTCTGGAAAAGTTTGAAATAGGCTGTGTAGCCTTTTGCATAATGTACCCATGGCCCTGGAGTGGCCCCCAGCTTTTCACTGTCAGCATCCAGCTCCATGGCCCCAGGCCTATCAATAAGCCGAAATGCTGCCATTACTTTAACATTACTTGCTTCACCTCATCCAAGCAAAACTTCCATTTCCTCACTGCAGTTTTATCACCCAGTAATAAGACAAAAACGGAGATTAATTTCACCCATCCTAAAATGCCAGTGGCCTTTAAATCTGGCCAGAAGTATTTGCAATTATTTGGAAAGATTATTCTTAATCCATATAACTTTATTGAAATGAAAAACATCTGGCCATGTAGAAGAAGTTTGGGGGAAAGTAGAGCCCAGGATCAACTCTCTTCAGCTCTTCTTCTTGCAGCTTTTTTTTAAACCTTCCACTTTACTTTTTAAAAGATTTTATTTATTTATTTGAGAAAGAGAGTGAGTGAGCATGGAGGGGGCCAAGGGGAGGCAGATTCCCCACTGAGCAGGGAGCCCAGCCCAGGGCTCCATCCAAGGACCCCACGATCATGACCTGAGCAGAAGGCAGCTGCTTAACCAATTGAGCCACCCAGGCACCCCTACCCTTCCACTTTTCTATCCACCATTTCTTTATTTTTTTTAATTTCTTTTCAGCGTAACAGTATTCATTGTTTTTGCACCACACCCAGTGCTCCATGCAATCCATGCCCTCTCTAATACCCACCACCTGGTTCCCCCAACCTCCCACCCCCCCGCCCCTTCAAAACACTCAGATTGTTTTTCAGCGTCCATAGTCTCTCATGGTTCACCTCCCCTTCCAATTTCCCTCAACTCCACCATTTCTTTAAAAAGCATCATATCTCCCATAGTGATGGGAAGAGCACTGATTTTGTAGCCTACGGGACCTTTTTGCAAACTCACAGTTCTGCCGCTTACCACCTGGGTGACTATTAGTTTCCTCTTGATGCTGTAACAAATTACAGCAAGCTTTGTGTCTTTTTTTAAAGATTTTATTTATTTATTTGACAGACAGAGATTACAAGTAGGCAGAGAGGCAGGCAGAGAGAGAGGAAGGGAAGCAGGCTCCTTGCTGAGCAGAGATCCTGATGCAGGGCTTGATCCCAGGACCCTGAGATCATGACCCAAGCCAAAGGCAGAGGCTTTAACCCACTGAACCACCCAGGCGCCCCAAGCTTTGTGTCTTAATACAAATTTA